CGCTAAAATACAAACTTCTGGATACTGTTTCTGAGGAGCAATTTCAGATGTTCTGGGGCACCAATAAAAGAAATTTAACTTACATTGGGATTTGTGTTTACTCTGCAGAACTGTGTTTTCTATCCAGTTTTCCTCCTGCCTTACTGGAAAGGGAAGTCAGCTCTCCCACCTCAACAGCAATGCAGTAAGCAGCCTACAAAGCTGTCCAATATCACGTGACACAGGAGAGACTATTTTACTAGTCAGGACTATAAGAGAGTAAAATAAGGTTCTTAGCCCTCTTTAGGCCCATGTATCTGCAGACCTTCCTTTAAAAAAACCAAACAAACACACAGGCTTACCAAAAACATTTTCACTGAGATATAGAGACCACATTGCTTAAAGCAGTTCATAAGCCCAGAATACCAGCCTTTTTTGATGGGGGAAAAAAAAAAAGAAAATAAGAGATTATTTGAAATTTGATTTCTATTTCTCTCTAAAGAAGATGGCCCATCCACCACACAGGATGATGTGTGACCACCACACAGCAGAGCCCAAATTCCAGGCGACAGTTTGATTTCTTGCTTACTCGTGAGTGTCATTTGAGTTAGTCAGGCCTCAGCCAGGTGCATTTGGCTGGCACACCTGGCAGGCACATCTCACATCTGCTTCAGCATAGGCAAACAGTGTGACTCTAACAAGGCCCTGCTCTAATATGATGGGGCTGCAATTTCTGTTATGGGAAAATCAATTAGGTGGTGATGATGCTGAGATAGGCACAGGAGTCAAGTGATAAGCTAAATCTGCCATAATGCAGTACTTAATTGCCTCTGGAATATTTAAGCAGATTATACAGAGGCATAGAGGCCTTCTTAAAGAAGGATGACACTTTTTTTTAGAAGTGGCATCTTTAGAGCCTCACACTGGTAGGAGTTGGTTAGCTCTCATATGACAGATTGAGATCACTGGGCGTCAAACATTCCTGACAACAGCCATAAGGCCAGCTTTAACAGGGACAGTTTTCAGACACTGTGGGTGGGTAGTTGCTTTCTTATCTTCGGGGATTTAGAGATACCACGGATATGGCATTTTCTCAGTATCAGGTGTAGCAATAGCTTCTCTATTAGTGATACAGAACAAGTAGCCCCTTTATCTTTTCTAAACACAATGCTGAATATAAAGGTGTCAGGCACTGAAATAATACACCAATAAAGTATTTCTTCTGTCTGTTAACCCCTTAAGAATCCCACATCCAATCAAATGAACTAAATGAAACACCTCCTGGTACACAGTGCTGGACAGGGCCACCAGTCAGGTGGCTCATGGCACTCAGCAGAGCTAGGCCTATGCCAGAGTTAGGTCAGGCTGCCAACAGTACATCCTGCAGTATGTACGGCAGTGCCTAGCAACCATCAGAGCAGTCACAACTGGAGAGGAGAGCTGCAATTCTCACAACATGCAGATAAGGAAATGATTCTCATTATATATTCAACAAGAGATTTATGCATTAATCTGATTGTTTTTCTTCATTCTCAAATATAAATGTTAGCACTAAAAGGATGTAGGAAAAATTAAGCTTGGTTTAAACAAATGCTACCCACAACAAACAAAAACATTTCTTAAGGATCAACTGAATCTTTATACAATATTTCTCTATAGCATATTCTTTCCCAAAATCCCAATGGTGTGGAAAAAAAAGGGAATGAGACATTTCTCCCATGAATGCATTCCAGTGAAAACAATGGTGTGTTCTGTGTGTAATACAGAGGGCACAGGTCCATACGACTGGCAGCACCTACGGCATGGGCGCCTGCATTAAGGAGCTCTGTGATTTGCTTCACAGGAGTCAAAAGGAAAGTTTCCTCCAGCTTCCTCTGAACAATGGAAATGTGCTAGGTTGTGAATGGATTACATACCATGCATACTAGTGCTTGCTGTCTCTCTCTCCTTTCCATCTATTCTTCCTACACAAATTTAGTTTCAACAGTTTTGAGGAAGGTATCCCAGGAGTCACAGTTTTTGTAGAATGGGTTTTTCCATTGGTGACCTTTACAAGAGGTATATTGGCAAAAGTAAAATTGCTTTTCTACAATACTCGCCATCCAAGATGTTCACATCATCTTACAAACCAAACAGGATTTGTAATCTCACCATGAAGTAAGTACAACATGAAGTGGTGCTCCATGTTTACGCTTCCTACACTACTCTTACGAGAAACAGATATGTCTTTAACCAAATGTAAATGCAATGTCAAATTTATTAACATAATTATTAATTTAATAAAATAAATAATCAAGGAGTGCAGCTACTTAAAAGCACTTGTGCTTGAAAAATTACAGCACAGATGGCATAAAACAAAGAGCTCATTCCTGATCCAATTAAAAGCTAAACTCTGACTCACATAATCGCAGACAGAATCACTTCCAGGTGCACTGACAGAAGAAGATAATTTTCAGCTCATACAGATTTTTGAAGTATTTGGTATAGCAAAGTCACTTAAACAGCTGAACTGGAAATGCTGCCAGTCTTCTTGACTGAAAATATTCTCCCGCATCTTCACTGAAGTACACCCAGAACTGAAGTCAGGCAATTTCTAGAAATCAAACAATCTTTTAGGACTTTCACATCTAAATGAGAGAGAACTTTTTGATGTGAAAAAACTGATGAAGTATTTGAATCATCACAGCATTTTTTGGGTTTAGTGGCCATTTACGTTTATTTGCTGGGATTGCTAAAACAAAATGTTTTCTATTTAAATAAATGTCACAATCTACTGTTTACACGCAGAAAAAGAAACAGCAGGAAAAGCTGGAATCTTGTCACTAGCTTTAGAGAAAAAGATGCAAGGCAATTTGCAGCAATAGTAGTTCTTTGCTCACAAAATGAAGAACTAAAGCATATAGTATTATCTGCAACATCATGTCACACTTGCCAGGGCTAGTTACAGGCAAAGGCAGTTCCTAGAGCCTGATTGCTAAAGTGGGAGAGGGAACAGGAGGAGGGGAAAAACAGCCATGCTCTCACTGTCTAATTTGCCAATAACAAAGCCCCAAAAATCAGGTTGGCTCCTGCTGCTGCAGGAATTACAGACTATACGGGACTGTGGTGGGAGCTGTTATTCCCAACAGCAGCAACAGGCAACATTCACCCTTCCCCCAGCAGAAACAACCCTTGTCCCTCCAGCTCTTCCTCTCAGCCCCACTCCTGCTGCTCCCTGGACTGTAACAAAGTTTCAGTTATGCTTTCAGTGCTGAGATGCTAGATGTAACATTTGCCAACAAGAAATAGAAATAAGAGTTTGAAAGGCACTTACTGCAGTACAGCCCTGAATGAGAAAGCTAAACTTTTAAAACTGTATACATTGTCTTTTGTAATCTAGAGAAGATAAAGACTTTTGCAAGGGCAAAATGGAAAACTGTACCATGCATTCTTAGCATAAAATCATGTTGAACAACATTACAATGTAAGTTCACATGCAGAAGATTCTTAACATATCTGCTTTTTCCATTGTCCATTGTTTAACATACTGAGGTGTGGCATGAAAAACATGATACACATAAGCCATATGTTGATAAAACACATGAACATATTTGTGGTTTATAATTATGATAAATTAGTTATTTTAGAGCTTGTGGAAAGTACTGGATTGACAGTCCTAGTAGTATGTAGACCCAGTGAACAGTTTTCCTTGGCTGTTCTCAGGTGTATACTTCAAACCCACCTGAAGTGAAGGGGCTACCTCATGATGAACATAAGCAGGTTTCCATGGTGCATTTTCTTGCATGAAATACTGATACTATTGCCAATGCCCTCTGTGTCAACAGTTCTGTGTTGAATACACACAGCCATAGGGAACTACATTGCATACAGGTGATTAAATTACAAGAACACGTCATCACTTCTTATCTGAGCAGGATTTAGTCCAGCAGCCCAGAGGTGAAGTTTTTTTATTGCAACAGCAGAAACTCTTAGTATAGTTTCTGCTGTGTCACACAGAAGGATAGCCTCTGTCCAGAGGAACGTACACTCAAAAAAGAAAACCCAACAGATGGATACAATAGCATGACCAAACAAGCCAACATAAAAAGCAGTACAATACAGCAGCCTCCAAACAACAGTCACCTGCTACTTGTTCCCTAGGTCATTCAGGCTCCTCCCTAACATGGAAGCATCTCTTTCAGTGATTTTCCCAAGAGACAGATAAGCCATTTCCAGTTTTAAAAATAGTCTGAAGTATTTGGAGGGATCCTGTGTTGCTTGTTAATGGTAAAGGTAGGGAATGATGGCAGATGAAGGTATTGCTTTTAAGAAATTAACCATTTTGCATTCAGGTGTCTCAGAGCTTCTTGATTCTACTATTCATGCTGAGCTGTAACTCTCTTATCTCTACTGTCTTCTTTGTAAGCTCCAGGATGCTGAAAATCAAAAAGCAAAGAAAAATACTAAGTCTTTTGACATACCTTGATTTGCAGTCTTAAAGACTAAGTAGAACACTTAAGCATTTAGTTTGCTTAAGTGGAATTTATGCCTTAAGCCCACCCGTGCTCTTGTTAAATTTTAGCCTGTCAAAATGGTAAAATCCAATAAAAGTTAATGGCAACGTTCTTTTAATTGGAGATTATCAAAGCAGTTGTGGAATAAAATCTTATCAATAGACTGGAGCAGCCAAAATACAGATTAACACCAACACGTTCCAAATAACAATGCAGTAATGGATTGGTGTTACATGGAATTTTAAATACACTTTTGATAAGGTTAGCTTTACAGTAAAGATAAGATGAAGTGCTTTCCTCTTGATTAGATACCAAGTTAGTCTAAGAGTAGAACAAGACACCTTTGTAATACAGAAAAATTATTCAGAAATTGTTATCTCTGTATTCAAAACAGGAAGGGGGGGTCTCATAGTCCTTCACCCTGTGTTGCTGCTGCTAAGCCATCACTGTTACAGGTGAACTACATTTCTGTTATAAAGCTACCGCTTACTGAAAATATAACTTACCTCAAGCTTAACAGTTGTGGATTCAGAAAGGCAGGAGCAGCACAAACACAGCACAGAAACATATGCTGAAGCCACTCAAACAAGAAGCACCTGAAAAGCAGGAACCATTATGTCTGAGTGACATGATGCAGTTCAGGTGTAGTACAATCTTATCTACACCACCCCAAAGCAGTGCAGTAAAATCCAACATCTGAATCCTAGTTACATTCAGCTGCTCAAAAGATGACAGCAGTCACAATGGTCACTTGCAGTTTAACTTACACAGCTCTGCAGAGAAGCTTTCATAGAGACAGGAACAATTCAACCAGATCCTGGGCTGCATCAAGAGAAGTATGGCCAGCAGGTCTGGGGCGGGGATTCTCCCCCTCTGCTCTGCTCTGGTGAGACCCCACCTGGAGCACTGCATCCAGTTCTGGAGCCCCCAGTACAAGAGGGATGTGGACCTGCTGGAGCATGTCCAGAGAAGGGCCACCAGAATGATCCTAGGGCTAGAGCAGCTCTCCTGTGAGGACAGACTGAGGGAGTTGGGGCTGTTCAGTCTGGAGAAGAGAAGGCTCCGAGGTGACCTTATTGTGGTCTTCCAGTATCTTAGTGGGGCCTATAAGAAAGCTGGGGAGGGACTTTTTAGGCTATTGGGTAACGACAGGACTAGGAGGGCTGGGGCAAAGCTGGAAGTGGGCAGATTCAGGCTGGATGTGAGGAAGAAGTTCTTCCCCATGAGAGTGGTGAGGCCCTGGAATGGGTTGCCCAGGGAGGTGGTTGAGGCCCCATCCCTGGGGGGCTTTAAGGCCAGGCTGGATAAGGCTCTGGGCAGCCTGATCTAGTGGGAGGTGTCCCTGCTCATGGCAGAGGGGTTGGAACTGGGTGACCCTTGTGGTCCCTTTCAGGTATGACAGCTTCTGATCTGTTTTAGCAGAGGACTTTAGAGCCCTAATGGCTCAATGGTTGGACTTGATGATCTTAAAGGTCCCTTCCAACCTAAAGGATTCTATGATTCTAATGAACAAGACACTCAAGAACTTGGGTGATCTTTACCCAGGAAACTCCTCCCTTGGCATATCTACAGAGGGAACACATGACAAGTGTGAAGGACCTGGGCTGAGAGCACCACTTAGGTGCTTCTGAGAAGGTCTGCTCTAATTTCAGCAAGGGCATCATAGCAACTTGGTCCTCTGTACTCCTGTTAGCATCTCAACATCCCTCTCTCTTCTTCAATAGCTTATGTCTCACTGGTGTCTCTGGAAACAACAATATTTGCTGTCTCACAGGGATAAGTTCTCAGCGTTGACTACGTGCAAACTCTCACTCACTGTAAAATGTCCGTTAACATAGTTGCTAGCATAACTTGGTCAGTACAAATTACAGTATGGAGAAGTAAAATGTTAAACCACTGAAGCATAGATACTAATAGGCTTTAATTAATTCCAACTAGGATGGAAACAGCAGAACAATGGGTCCTACAGTCTGGATAAAGATGCTAATCCACCGCAGTGCTACCTCCTTTCCCACCTGCAGCTTTGCAAACAAGGTTCTGCTTCAGATAAAGGTTGTGATCTGAAGGTCCAGAGATGGAGAACCCTGCCTTAAATTTAGGCAAAGAATATGGGAAAGGAGGACAGAAAAGCTTACTGTTTCAGACTATATTTTACAGAAGGGAGTGCTTCACACAGTGTAATGCTACTAGCAGCATGTGGCTGCTAATGCCATCTGACAATCTTCCCCCATTATCTCTTGCTATGGGTAAATCCAACAACGTCCTTGCTGTTTGTCTTGGTCAGGTATGTGATTTGAGGCACGACTTAAAAAGTTGATTCACTGTAACCCACCTTCAAAATACAGGTCTGATGTTGGTGGATGCTGGGAGACCGCACACCCCACTGATGTGGGTTGGAAGAGGAGGGAGTGACTCTACTCACCACTCAGCGCTGGGGTTTGCACTGCCTGGGTAGTACTTGCTCCATTTTGTGTCTCTGGGGGGCTTGTTCTGGCTCCGTCCAGTGCCATCTGAAGGCTCTGGAGCTGTGATGCATTCAGATGCTCACGCTGCACTCTGGTAACCATGGCGGCATTTTCAGGGCCCATGTTTGCTATTTGTTCTGGGGACAATGCCTAGGAGGAATAAAAGCCAGAAAAATTGGTTTGGGCTGTCAATTATAGAAGGCAGGTAAGGAATAAGAAGTCATTTGGAATGAAGGGAAGTAGTCTTCAACATTGTTGCTATAGAAGAGCTCAACAGAGCTTAAAAAAAATATCCTCTGCCTTCATTTACTTCACCAACCAATCATGTCTTTCACCCTTCTCTTTGCTGCTGGGATCTGACAGCTTGAGAAGCTTTCTATGCTAACACTGTGTTGGACACTTATTCAATATATCACTGGAGTTTAATTTTCAAGCCATTTCTTTTCTGATTTGTTCAGATTCATGACATCGTGCATCTTCTTGTGTCTTCATTTATTTCCTCTTACACCTTCTGCCAAGCACCCTCACTTCAACCTGTTTGACCTTTGGTTACAGTTAGCAGCATGGCAATGAGATGAAAAAACACCACGCTTTAATCTCATTATTCAATTTTTCTCTTTTAGATTTAAAATCTTTCAAGTTTCATCATATTAAAACCTGTGCTTAAAAATAAAACATGGTAATAATAATCTTAACAGTAATTATCTTATATCACATAGCAGTTAACCAGTTTGTAAAGCCTGCATGTATTGGGCATTCTGGATTGCTTTGATTCTAGTTAATATTCTGCAGTCACAAGAATTATAGCCCTCCTACACAAGAAGCCTTCTTTGCTGCAACGATTCTGCATCCAAGTTCTACTTTAGAAAGAGTAAATTCCCTTTCCAAGTAGGCCAGACAATGGTGCAAATCCTTCCTGATTTTTTTCATTGTCTACCAAATGGTGTGCTCATATAAACTGAGTGAAGTCATGTAAATGCCTACAGGTCCAGAGATTTTGAACTGAGCCTCTTCTTAACTTGACTAAATTCCATAATACAAAGTAAATTTTAAGAAATCAAACTCTGAATAATGTATACAGCCACAAAATGAAGCTATACAAAACTCATGTAAAACCAAAATGTGCTTTGAACCTCTCAAATATAGAAAACTCTTCTGAGGTGTCCTGTTATTCCTGAACACATTTTGTAGTATCATTACTATTCTTACTAACAAAAATGTATGCTATTTGAAAGAAATTCTACAAGATGCTATAGATTTCAGTTTGGGCTGTTTTTCAAAGGAATAGTTTCACTAAGGACGTTTCAGGCTTATCCAAACTGTCAGTGGTACTGTGCAGAACAGCAAGTGTTCAAGGAGTTTTTCTGTCTCATGGAAGCTGACACAGTTAACTATCTGTTTAGCTCATCTGTCCATAAGTACATTGCTTGCCTGAATATCTGAAAGAGACCAGCCCAAGCAGAATATTAATCTTGTCACTAGGTCAAATAAAGTCTAGGGCAATGATCTCAGGATACATGTTCTAATTTCTGGTCCACATTCAGAACTGCCGTAATTAGGTGTAATTCCTTTCTGATCTGTATCTGCCTGTACAATCTGTTTTTCAAAACTAACTCAGGAGAATGTTGCCAGATTTTAGAATAATAAAGAAGCTCTTACATAGTCAGCAGAGAAATTTGTAGCTATGATACCATCCTTGCAAATGTTAATAAACAGAAAACTCAGATCCTTGACTGCTTCTCACTTAATACACCACAGACACACCCTTGCTAAAACTCAAAACCAAACTATGTATCAGTGCTCAAGTTTATTTATACTAGAGTAAAAATGATAGAAATTTGGTTACTTCTCCAGAAACTGAGCTCTTACTTGGAAAATTTCAGGAGGTATACATCTTACTGCTATTGGCTGGAAATATGGCATCAAGTTTTTATCAAAAGCTTTTAATTCATCTTCATTCAAACCACCTAGGAAAACACCAAACAATAGAAACAAAACTCAGTTAGTATTAATTTTATTAGATTTATTTTTAGGCTAGTAGAAATTATAACCATTTATAGCAAGTATCTAGTAAATGGTTTACTCCAGTGCATTATGGAGAGAGATACTGTTTTTTTTTCTTGTTTTATTTCTTTCATTATATTCCAATATAATGAATCACCTGACCTTAACTATTGGTATGGAATGTAATCTGCCCGAGCTACTTTATCTTGGAAAAAAGACAATGACAAAAATCAATAAAATCATCAGCAGTGTTATTAGGGAATGCTCGTTCCCAGTCTCTTCTGATACAAGACTAAGGAGCATAAACATGCAATGGGAGTTACTTCTTCACCCATTAGGTACTTACAATGTGGAATCATTGCCACAGGCATCAGGGATGCTAAAATTTATGGGAGTTCAATGTGCAGTTAAATTATCACAGGGAAAAAAAATCCATGAAAAAAGAATGATGTGTGGCCTGTGTCTCAGGGAGCCTGCAGGGCTGGGAGAGCACTCTGGAGAAGCACCACCCCGGGCTACGCCTGCTGCTCCGCTCCGCCCTGGGCAGCCCGTTCCTCCCGCTCTTGGAGGCAGGATGCTTGGGCAGCCACAGCCCTGCTCCGATCCAAGACAGCCCTGCAGCAGCATGTGAGAGAGTGAATAGTGACTGGGTCTGAAGTCCTGCTTGGTTTTCACCTCCTTGAGTTAACCTTTCCAACTTACAGGCCTCAAATGACTTCTAGCTGTGCTTCCCATAGTCAGTTTGAGCAGATTCAGAGAACACTATGGAGAATAGCAGGACTTTTCCATAGTGCTAATGAAACTGCTGGATGTCCATCCCTGCAGGTGACTCTTCTCTGAAAGAAATGTCTTTTGGTAGTCTAGGAAAATGTACTGCTATGTGAATCTGTCTCTTAATGCTTAATAACAATGCTTCAGAAGCATCACCATCTGTAGTCTGAATTTTATTACCTGCTATTGTACCAATCTCCTGTAAAATAGAGCTGTTCCAGCTGGTAGCAACACCAAACACAGATTCTGTCAGCTTTTTAAACTGCCTCAGAACAGGGGTACTACAAAATAACAGGCCAATTCTTGCAACAGCAGCACTGCAAAAGGCAACAAGGTTAATGTTACATGCTGCAATTACATGTCATACTAAATATGCCTGGAATATACTTAGTCAGCTGCGAAAAGACTTAAACCAATTTTCCATTCAAAAATATATATACAAAAATATATATACAAACGTGTAATTCTTTGAGCAAAAACCTGGGTTTCTCAATGCAATACTTAAATGGTAGGATATAAATGGCAGAGGAAACCTAAAACAGAATGTATTTTAAAAAACCCATATATGCCTTTTGTAACAGTTATTGCTTTTCTAAAAGCATTTAAAATGTAAAAAAATGTCCTCTACACTCCAGAAATGTGGAAGGAAAACAAACTGCACAATATATTTTATCAACAGAGATACTAATAAATATTTCATTAAGTATTAAATGCAGTACCTGAATTCAGCAGTCTTTATGGACATGATCTCTGTAGGGTTCAAAGCACAGAGAATAGCTCCTAATCCAACTAAATCAAAGCTTTTTAGTGTACTGATCGTCTGGCCAGAGTCTTCTAGAAAACCTTGCAAAATAGATCTTGCCTACAAAAGCAGTAAGATATTACACGTGAACAGAGTGAATATAATTGAAGGTTTTATTACAAGAAGCTCAAAACCTTACCAGATGTTATGGACGACATATAATTCTGAACCTCCACAAAGTGATTAACTGGAGTTTTGTCATGGCCTTCAGGAGGAGCACTGTCACCACCTATATGTGACACTTAAACAGGGCATGGTTACACAACCATTTCCCAAGTGCAACGCATTTCAAAGCACTCTATACCTCTTTGGCCAGGTCACAAGGAAACACTTCACCAGAAGAGGCATTGAATTCACACAGGCATGGAATGGCCTAGCAGAACTGCCCAATTCAAATAAATTGTTACAAGGAAATATAAATTACTCATGGGATCAATATGAAATTTTCATGTTTTCTAATACTCAGGTTGTCTTGTCTTATTTAAGTATCATATATATGGGGTGACCTGCATTTAGGGTTAATTTTCAGATATGAACGGGATATCAGTACCAAAATGCCTTTGCAAGTCTAAGTCATTTAGGATGGTGCTCATCTTGAGCTAACCACGTAAAAACTGTGTGCCTAGCTCAAGCCTGCCACCAAGGCATCCTCCAAAGTCAGTGAAACAAACAAGCATCTTCCAAGATCTATCCAAAATGCTGAGCCTCATATGGCTCCCTTAAACTAGCTGCTTAACTTTTAGACAACTGAAGTTAGGCAGGATGAATCTCTTTTAACTAACTATTCTTAACAAGAGCAGGAAACCTCAAAAGTCAAGTGGTGTTGTATAAAATCCTCCTCAGTGCTTCATTCTGATAGTGCTCTTCAGAACAGGAAACTATGAAACAGTTTTGTATTATTCTGCCAAAGATAGCTGCCACCATGCCAGCATCTGTGCAGCTGAGGAGCCCTGAGGGTATGGGTCACAGAGTCAGAAATATGCTGCCAATTGCACATACAAATAAAAGCTTTTAGCTCTTCCTGTGAAAGCCCCATTGACATCACTAGAAATTATTCAAGGAGAGGTAAAAGAGAGGAGCATATTTGCTAATAACTTAGGTTTCTAGGGCAATGGATGCTGAGATGGGGGAGCACGCTACCTCTGCAGTGATTGCTCTTAGTTAGGAAGGGCTAGTGTCTCCTGGCAGTAGTGTCTACTCTGGAGCCAGCATGAGAGGAGCTGCTAACCTATTTCTGCTATAAGGGGGCAAGTGCTAAAGAATATACTCATCACCAGTCCTCTTGGCCACCTCACCGGGGAAGCCATCAGCCATGCAGTCAGTGCAGACCTGCCCGGGCACTTCCACCGGGGTCACTGCTGCAGAAACGCAGCAGGGAGTAGTGTGGATTGCTGTATCTGTTTCCTAGGCAATTCCATGACTTCGGTCCCAAAAGGCACGAATCCCGAGCCTTTCACCAGGAGTACATCCAATAACATACTTACCTGGGTAAAAGTCCATTCTGTTTGCTGACTAAGTACAGAAATGGTGTCGATAGAATGCAAATCCAGCTCTTCAATTTCACGTTCGGTGAGTGCCAGAGCAATGCGGCCCAGGGAAACAAGATGAAAACTCTTCCAGTCTGGCAGCAATCCCCAAGCCTTGAGAAGAGATTAATGTGTGTCTGTTAAATCATTATGAATCTTCCTCTACATACACCATTCTTAAACCCCTCTGTTTTAAAAGTCCCGATACCTGAAGTATGCTTCTTTGCATAAAGGCAGAGCTCAGGTATTGTGAAGGTTTCTGAGGTTCTACATTAACAATGGTAAGTTTATCTAAAAGCAGTGCAATTTGTACAGCTTGAACTCGTTGATAAATCAGCGCAGGGACTGCTGGAAGTGTTGCTGTAGGAGCAAGTACCACTAAATCAATAAACATGAGTCTGTGCTAAGATCCACACTGTTAGACTGCTACTGTGAAGGCAGCACTCGGACTGCCCAGGCTTCTGCACCGGCTCAAATCGCTCGGGGGGCAGTGACTTTAAACTGCTTTTAAACTACTCATCCTGGCTCAGCCATTGACAAGGAAAGCAGAAATCAAAACAGGGAGTCAGGTACACAGACAAATAGCCAGTTCCTAAAGTTCTGATTTCTAGTTAGTCTGCATACAATGTTAAAAAGAAAAAAATCTTATAAATGTGTTTGTACAGATACACTTAAATCTGTAAAGCTCTGCAAGAACAAAGAAATAAGCAGCTGCTGTTCTAAATCAGTACCAAAAACTGTATTTACACTTCCAAGTTCCACTGCTTATAGCTTTATCTGTGATATAGTTACAGTGATTCAAAAGCTGTCACAGATCAGCCCTAAGAAAATTTTGATTTCAGGAAAAGGTCTGCCTGAATAAGGAATAATGAAAGTCCATCAAGAGTTAAATTTGCAGAGGCTAGAACTGTCATTTACATTTAGCTAGAAATGATAGAAGACAGCAGTCAATATCTCTCAGGATATGGCCAATTGTCTTTACAGGAGACATTAGGTTTTGGCTGGAGGAAGTGACTTGAACAAGACAAGCGTAAAAAAAAAACACCCTTAAAGGTCTCATGTACTTCAGCAGCTTGCTTTGTGTCAGTCAATACATGACAGTTTCTAGCACATGACTGTGCTGCTCCACACAGGAAAGTAAAATTAAAAGCCCAGTCCTGGGCTAAGCTGATTGTTCATGCCGTCTGATTCACAGAAACACTTAGTCCATTTTCAGGATAGCTACAGTTTAAGTTTTGTTCAAAAACTCAGAAAGGCCAAAGCTAGTAAGGACTTGATGAAGGAATATTTCTGCAGTTGCCTACTAAATGGTGTGGCACCTTCAGATACATATGAGGCTGCACAACCCACATAAAATAAAGAAAAAAGGCCAGGCCTCTGGAATAAGATACTCCCTACACAGAGCTGCAGACATCTGCTGTTCATACCAACATGCACATCCCACACAGAGCAGCCTCAGGGCTGCCGAGGTGCTCTTCTCATCTATGACCCTCACATTACGGATTTGTTTAAGAGATGCTTTGTTGGATGTGTACCTCCTGACTGAGTTTCCACTGGATCTTTTATCCGGGTTTTATGATGTCATAAAGAAACAGGGTCTAAGCCTGGGAAATTTCAATCTTTTCCAAAGAAAATGCATAGTAAGAAGCATTAGCCCAATTTTAAAGCTCTTAATTCTTTAGCTTAAGAGATACAGGAAACACAAGCAGTTAAAATTTTTGTGTCTACTTCCTGATTTAGGTCATAAACTATAGAACTTTAAGTACTTCATAAATAGTATTATCTGGCAGTGCTGGATGAAATCTCAGACGTAATGATATAAATAACACAACGTATGAAACTGAAACACTCCTTTGTCCTCATTCACCTAGAGACTGCAGATCCATACATCTGTTACTATCACAGAGCTTGGAGACCTTCCATTTACAAGTGAGCTAAGCTTCTTACTTTCATTAAGACACAATCTGATAACTAGACTTTTTGAATTAGTTTGGGACCATGAATAGTACACAGTTTCTTTTAGGGGAAACCAATCAATTTAGGAGAAATTAAGGCTGGCTTAATCAAACCTTTAATCAAAGATGCCCTTTAGTTAATAACAGCATGTTATGCATGTAACTTCAAAGAGCTTTGCCTATACTGCCTGATTTCTCATGCCTCACATTCAGTGTAACACCATGTTGCATTTTGAAAATTAATATACAGGAAATCTGGTTTTGTCTAGCAGCAAGCTGTGTTACACTCACACAGAGAAAATATACTTTCATTCAGTTAATATAACTTGGATATGAGTGTATTAACCTTGCTAGCAATTTCTCTACAACAGGTACCAGGCTGTAAGTATATCATTATGTTGCACTGCTATAAAATATTTTAGTTCCCACTATCTCAGATGAGCACTGCTTTTATTTTCTTCAAGGATTTTCCTTTTTTTTTCCCCCGCTTTTCCTACCCATGTCTCTGTGCTGACAGAGGGAAGCTGTCTTGGGAAGAAGACATTTGATGCAGTGGGCTGTTGTCTTACTGCAACAAGGAAACAGAGAGAATTGCAGAGTCACCATCTGCTTTTGGGAATCCTGTAAGTACCACTTCTCTTTGAGTACCTGCAGTTCAGGAGTTTTAAAAGCTGAGCTTCATTGCTACAAACTGCACTGTTGACCCTATGTACCCAAAAGACATGGTCAGCTCCACTGCTTTGTCTGCTGGTTTAAGGTCAGGCAGCTCAGGCCCACATTGTGCCCTGCTGCTGTTTTCCTCCAGAGGTCACAGCCCTCAGACGTTCAAGCATCTGCACTCACACGACTTGCAGCCAACTGCACTTGTAGCTGCATCCTAACCTCATTCTGTCAGAATGATCTAATGGAGCCTAAAAAGGCGTTTTAAAACTCTGGATCATTTTGATGGAACAGGATTACAGAGTAGCTAGTCGTGCAGAGATGGAGGCAGAGAGCAGATAACCTCCAGCAGATGCTGGCGACAGGAGGCTGCAGATAAGCTGGGGAGATGGTAACCTCTCCACCTCTGGGTTTTCTGCAACCAAACCAACTTGTCTTACTGCACCCTAAGGCTTTTCCTTGCTGAAACACAACTACGTTTGAGACACTACCTATTCCCTGGCAGTGCAGGCAACCATAAAGCAGCAAGAGGCCTTCCCCAGGGAGGAGTGCAACACCACCAGCCGGGATGGACCGAGGCCTGACTGCCTTCCCAGCCTACAGCAGGCCAGGCAGCACTGCTTGGGGCCCAGACACCTCAGTGATGCTCTGGCCCAGACTCAGCATGCTGAACTGCACCCAGCACAGCACTCTGCCCTGAGCACTCTGGCACAGACCCTGTGCTGCAGTGCCAGACAGGGAGAAGTTCCAGTTCTGGCTTCCCATGCTGCTGCTGCAGCACGGACATCATGCATGGGCTGAGCCCAGGGCAGAGACCTTTCCGAGGAGCTCCAGAAGAGCTGCATGGCTTTCTCTCGAGAGGTGCCAGCAGAGCTGCAGGAGTGGTGACATGACCTGAGACTACAGTCCTGCTCCACTCTGAGTCTGCAGCCCGGCACAGACAGAGGTCTTTGCTGTGCACTCCCCAGTAACATCCCAATAAAGACAGACCAAACGCATGTGGGGTTTTTATTTCCCTCCTTGAAATTTCATACAGTTTGTTCCTGTCTCTGACAAGCAGGTGGGAGAACACACTTCATTCAGCTAATAATACTCTCTTTCAGTCAGTCTGGTTTACACCACTGTAAACTATATTTAACATTGATGTAGACGCTCTGAGCTTAATTCTCAGCAGGCCAAACAAAGCCTGTAGTACTGTTTGCTGATTTTTCTGTTATGAAAGTGAGAAGCAAGAAACTGAAAAGCAATTCAAAAGTAAAAGCACTTAAGTTTTTCACCTACCAATAGCTCAGAACTACTTGCCCGTTGACTCTAAAGCAAAGGCAGCAGTCTTATATCATCATCTCACATTACTTTTCCAACAAATAATAGATATTCTTGCAGCAGTAGCAGTGACATTGCCATAGCATAGTTATTTTAGAACTGCATAGTTCAATAACAGCAAATCAAATTATGGATTTCATTTTCCTTCATAGACATGAAAGTTACCTGCTTGGCTTTTTCTTTCAAAGCAATAAGCTGGGAGCTATTAAAACCTGAGACAGTCCCAAGAAGGTCCACATTTTTGTCAAAAGTCCCTGTGTCCATGCATTTTAGTTCCTGAACTGACCAAAAGACATTTGCTTCTGCTAATTTAATAATTTCATCTGAAGAAGGAGCTCTGGTTCCCAGGCAATCTGGAAAAAAAATCAAATAGCAAGAGTTTTCTTCAAGAAGACTGAAAAAAGAAATCAAAGTAATGCAGAGATTTAAGAAGGTGACAGACTATGAATTAACTCCAGATGATGTGATATTGATAAATTATCTCACAATGAAATAATTTATTTATTTACACTGTTGACATCCTGGATATAAAACTAGAACTTATGTAACTTGCAAGAAATGTTATACTCTTTGTCCTCCAAAGGCAGTGCGTACTAAGAAAGAAAATACAGGTATCTTCTTTCTTAGCAGACAGGTATTTCAGAATAGCTGCAATACAGAATGCTGCAATACAACTAAAATCTGGATGTGTGCAATACCAGTAACCAATATCTTGCAAGTTTCTTTCAAGTCTAATCCCTAAAGGAATCAAAACCCAGGCATTCTGAGGTAAAACCACCATTCACTGCAAGCCTTGCTTGAGTAAGAATGAAAAGCAAATCTTTCGGAGGACCTTGGTGGAAGTGTCCATACAGCTATTGTTCACAAAAAAATGCTGCAGCTGAATAAACTTGGTGTTCAAACAGCACATGTGAGTCCAGCTCAAGAGGAAAGTAACAGACATGAGAGATTCTTTCACTCTGAAATACCTGACAGAGATGTACGTCTTGTAAGACTTGCCTGACATTTAAACAAGGTGAAGACAGAAGCTGGATGTGTCAGAGAAGCACAGTGCTTGTTCTTTATGTCAAGCATGTTGTTAAAACGTCAGGATCTAGAGAGGGCTGCTCGCTCAGAACAGCACTGTTTGGACAGACAAACTCAATTTAAAAATCTTATTTATGTTCGGGTTCTGGCCCTATGCATGATCAAATGACACAGTTTCCATTGTGTGTTTTTAACAAATCCTAGCCTTTCTTGGCATATTCTACATCTAATATTGATGGAACGCAGAAATTAGAATCCTAATGTGGGTGCTTACTGCTCTTGCCCCTGTCACTAATTTAGGAAAACCTCATTAAATAATTATCTAAACCAAATAATCCCTACATGTCTTCAGATATGGTCGTTACCAGTAAAAAAGCAAGAATTTCACAGACACTGTGCCTGAGCTAAGCTCCCCCAGATAAATAAATTAAAGCAAGGATACACAAAGTAGATTTGTACTTTGAAAGAAGGCAAAGGAGGGATTTATTTGCATCAAAGGAAGCTGCAGCAGTGGGTAGAACACTGAAAAGACTGAATCTGTTGAGCAAACGAAAATGTTGTTCAGCTTCCACTGTACCAGCTGATGTTCTGCTCTCTCTTTTCACCACTCTCTTGTGAAGCTGCATTGTTTCACTTTCCCCTGCCCAAAAAGGTCAGCTTTTATCATGTAAATACTACCCACCCAGACATAATGAGTTCTCTTCCCCAAGTCATGAAAACCTAATATTTTGTGTTCTTGGAAAAACCCACTGATTTTATTATTTGTAACACACCAGATACATCGGTGCAATTACAGAGGGAAATACTAATTAGAGTCCTGAATTTGCTTCCTGTATCTGATACTACTTCACTCTTTGTTTTGCTATATAATCACATTTAGTTTAATGAAGAACATATTATATATAATATATATTAATGTCTCAGTGCTTGAGGCTAGCAACCTGAATTCTTTTTCCAGCACTGCCACTGCTTTCTGGTAGCATCTCACACACCTGATTCCTGAGAGTTGCCTCATACGTTCCATCTTGCCTTAAGCACCACCTTTGTTTTTATCTTGATGTAGACATAGATGTAAGAACTCTGTCACTGGTAATTGTTATTGTTATTAGAATTAGCTTCCACCTGGACACTGGGAAATGTAAAATAGCAGGTTGGTAGCAAGAAGAGCATCAGTGTTTTTCTTAGGCTATTTTCATAATACCCAATTTTCTAGTGATTTACAAGTCAGCTATAAAACTTCATTCTTTATTGAAACCACTGTGTGAGTTGTGTGGAGTTGATAATACTACATTGGGTAACAGAACTTCAATACCACACCTGGACTGCAGAAGCATTTCTTAGGCTAGCATAAACAATGCTTCAAAATTTTCATCTCCCAGACTCCTCCCCAGCTAAGCTTGTGCAGCCAAAGTGAAGAAGGAGAAGCCTCCATAGCCCTCAAGCCAAGTGATCCTTTGACAGAGATCATTAACTTCACTAGCAGGTTTCTTTTGGTCTTGCAGTGAGGATGAGACAGCTCTGCAACTGCACAGGACATAAACTAGTCTGATTAGCGAAATCTTTGGGATTCATCACTGTCATCACTGTGATGTGTGACTACAAAAGCACACATAAGGACACAGGCATACCAAAATACCTGATGCTGAACCTTCAGCCCTGTGGCCCACGCCTAAAGAAATATGACTTATGATCCAATGGTCTACTTGATCAAGGAAGAATGAATTTCATGCATATAGATGGACTAATACTCTGCTATTGCACCAGCTCGATTCTGCTCTTTTAGAGCATGGTAATTGTGTAATGGCTCCTCTGATCAACAGTGGCCATGGGTATTTTTCAGGCTATGCAAAAATACAACTCTGTAGAACACCCTCTGTCTGTCTCTTTATATGACTACAGCATTATCAGGAACAAATTAATTCCCAGAGAGACACAGTCATCATTCAGAGTTGCTGTTATAGAAGCAGATGGATTTCCATGGTGGCTCAGGGCTTGCTGAGAGCTTGGACCTGTATTCTGTTAGGCAGAGAACCCAGGGGGAGATATTCAAAGACATAAAGGCAGACAGTACTAAAGTCTTTGAAATTGTTGGGGTTTAAATTCCCATCATGGCTTTTCAAAAGCCTCACCCACAGCAAGTTTGTTTTCCACAGCCCAGGATAGCATAGCTTAAAAATTCTGCCTGAGTGAACTTCAGGTAAGAGAAAGAATACAGTTATTGTAATAACAGAACATAGTCAAAGTATGCACCTCATACAATGAAAATGATCCGTGCGTCACCAGAGATTCTAATAGATTAGTTTGGTTGCTAATTAAAATACCTTCTAGATTATAAAAGATGTTGTCCATTTGGACAGACAAAACACAGTGCCACAATGTCAGAATTAAGAACAGCTGAGTCAACACATGCTCATATCTGGCAGAGGATAAATTATGCGCAATCTTTTGGCAACAGTAACTTGTCACCTTCACAGGTTTTTCATTCACGGATTTTCACTTAGATTACAGAGGGAAGTAAAATAAACAAAAAAATGAAAAAAAAAACCCAAATCCCTCTAAATCAAATAACTCATCTTTTTCCTTTGTGCATTCAGAACACTCCAGGAGATGCTTAACCATGCAGTCCTGGTATGAAATTCAGCTTTTCAGCAACTGGGCAACGCATCAGATAACTACAGGCAACAGAAAGGAGATTCTCATTGTTTTTGCTAAAAGCTCTTTAAGTTACCTGATGCTTTACTTTTTATTGTGTGGCTTCTCAGAATGCATTTGATGACAAGGTGAAACAAAAAGACTGTTTGAACTGCACCATCACAGCCCAGAATTGCACCACTATAAATTGGGCACTTTGCACAGACTCCAGGTGAAATACTGACCAGGTCTGGTGAGAGATGACTCTATATTGGCAGTGGCATTGGAGACAGATTCAAATACAGTTGAGAGAAGATCTTCAGCTGAAGAAATTGGTCCACTTGTCTTTGCTATTTGTAAAATGGTATCTGGGAACTTCAAAAGGAAAGAAAGAATAAATAAGACTTTTTTGTCCCTTTTAAAACAAATCAATTTGCAGAGAAAGACTTGTGCAGACCTCAGAAAAGTAGGGGTTAGTAACAGCTCAGCCTCCTTCCTATTTGTGCAGAGGTTTCAGAAGAAGACAGTAAATTGGCTGCTATCAAAAGGTCAACAAGGTTTGAGGGCAAAAAACCCCCAACGATTAGAAACAAAGCAAATTCTGAGTGACTCTACTTCACGTATTCCCTCTCAGCTTCTGGCAACATCTGAGCACTGCCTGAGAGGAGTCTATGTCCAGACTCTCCAGTAGCAATGAGTTCCACCATTTTAGTATGTGCCGTACAGAAAGTATTTTATTTTATCTTAAATTTGCCAGATAAATATAAGAATTGAGGATAGGGACTCAATTAATTTATGAGAAACAACTTCAACCTGTTAACCTTTCTTAGACTTTTATGACCTCTCTCTTCCCCCTGCTAGACACCTTCCTTTCACTTGAAGAGTTCTATTCTATTTGGTCAATTATAAGCATTATCTCCTGAGGAAAAGTTGCTGATTGTGCCCACAGATTTCTGCTGAATAATGAGTTCCTCATTCCACTATAGTTCACTTCTATACATAAAAATTATACGAGTCTAAGAACTAAAGAGGAGAAAGAAACTACAAAGTGCAATCCTAAGGCTGTTATTGCTATGGATACTACACTGACCCTAGGGCAAAGGGCTGCATGCGTATACTGTAATTTGGTCAGTATGATCCCATTATTATCAGGATAAGCAGCATAACTTTTATGACTGGAAGGCAGGGGAATGGAAGAAATAACACTGCAAGGTGTAAAGTACTAAAAAGGTTTGAGTTTGAGTCACTATAAATGCTTTTTTTTTTCCCCTACATGACAATGTACAATTACCACTGTATACATGGAAGTAATTGTTTATACCACCACTAATTTCAGGAAGAAATCTCAGAAATTTTGCAGTCAAGTACTTGTGAAACATTAACACGTGGTTCCTTGCCAAGAAAATTACCTACCTAGATTTGCATTCAGGTTACATAATTTAGACTCCATTATGACATTCACAAGTTCAAATCCTAACATTAGATTTTTAAAATTGTAATGAAACAATACCTTTTCTGCAAGGACGTTTAGTTCCCTTTTTGAGAGCAGAGCTGTGAACGGTCCAACATCTAACGTTGTTTCAGCTGTCCAATTGTTTGGAGAGCTGAAGAAATATTTTGGAAAATTATATTAATGAGGAATGTTTGCAATCAAAATTATACTGTGACTACAAAGAAGATGGAGACTCTATTTTTAAAAGAAGTCACATGGAAAAGACAAGAGGTAATGGGTACAAGTTGCACCTAGCGATATTCCCATTAGATACAGGAGGAAAATTTTTCACAACAAGGACCATCAGCCACTGCAATAATGTCCCCACAGAAGTGGGAAATCCCCAACATTGGACACTTTTCAGATTCAGATGGACAGGGTGCTGGCCCATCTTATATAGACAGTGCTTTTTCCAAGAAAGGTTGAACCAGATGACTCTTGAGGTCCCTTCCAACCTGGTATTCTGTGATTCTAAAAGTTCAGAGTTTTCCTTATACTATATCATATAGGAAGCACAGACATTTCTATGCCAATGTGATGATTCGTGCTTATTATCATCAGATTGCATTTTCTCATCTCTCTGTAATATATTGGGCTTTAGTGGAAGTCTCAATATATTCAGAGAAAGCCTTCAAATATTGTGGTAATGGAGCTCTCTCCCCCTCAATAGTCATCGTATTCTTAGCACTACAGTGTTCAAGCAAGGAGAAAATTCTTTTTGAAAAAGAAAATGTACCATTTTCTGTCAGGTTCATACTGCAGTAGTAGGAAATGCAAAATGGTATCAAGACAAGTAAAAATCTCATAACCAAAACTGAAATGATCCTTTTTCCAAGAATCTTATCCTAAGAACCAACATGGCTAATACTTTAAGCAAGCAATACTTGCTTATAAATTAAAAGCAAACAAACAAACCCCTCCTCTATTGCAGTATTTAATTATTTGCAGGTGTACAGGGGCTGTTTTTTGTTGGTGTTGGGCAACTGTAACTTTCCCTGATGTCAGCAGGAGCTGTGGATGCTCAACATTTCTGAAAATTCCAGGCACACTTAGGTGAAGTGGATGCTTTCCCCCTCATTCTGCAAAGACTGAGTCCACTCAACGACTTGGGAAAGTAACTCAGTGTGGTAACAGCCTGCTGATAATGCTGCCTTTTTAAAACTAAGGGACAGAAACACAAAACACAGGTGATGGAACAGGAAATTTAAATCCAGACCTTACCAGCTCTGTATTTTCACTGTCTGCCATTTCAGTCATCTGCAATGTCAAGAGTTACAGGAGGCAGATGTAACACCTTGGAGAGCCACATCTAACATCACCTATGACACTTCTGCATGAGAGATCAATTCCATGACAGGTACCATATCTCTTAAAATAGCATACTAAACTATTTGCAGGAATTTCAGGTCTCAAAAATTTAGTTCAGGTTCAGTTCTGAGTGGTGCTGGATGCCTTAAAAACTGTATGTAGCTTAGCACTATGCAGGTTTGTCCTGTTTGATACAAATCTGACAAATGTTAGCCAACCCCGTTAGTAGCTGACTTAAGAAAGCACTTGGATAAATAACTTTCAGCCTGACAGAGCCTGAAGAAGATGGCAGTAATAAACCTGTTTCTAGTGCATGTTCTCACAAAGAGCTTTATTTGGTTTGGTGCTCCACTATGCGGATGCTTGACTGGACAAATATTTTCTAATTAAAAGAAAATAAAAATATTACTTAGCATAGTGTGTCATGATTCAATAAAGTGGATCTGTATCAAGATTAATGCAGGGATGGGATCTGGCTGAAAATATTGCTATTTCATTACCAGAAAAATGCTGACTAGGAGGAAGCTGAAGGAGCAACTAAAACCATTAGCTGGATCAAGTGACAGACTTCAGGGCTGAAGGGATGGTTAGAAACTATGCATTCAGCCTCTCTTTTCAAATACAAGCTACTTCTAAGAGACAATGCAAGAAAGGAACAGTATATTCTTGCCAGACACAGGCCAGCTTTGTTTTTTGCATAACTGATACAGCAGTGTGGTTCCAAGCAGCCTAATCTAAGTCGTTAATGATATCTAACATGCTGTTTGTTTTGTTGCTTCAATTGGTTGAATTTTATATCCCTCTGCTTCTTCTCTAGCTCTCTCCCATGGCCACAGGTGCTTGCAGTCTTCTTTATTTCCCTTCTCACACCAGCACACTGAGTACCCCACCTCCATTTTCCCATTCTTTGCATTCTTGTGCCATACTTTGCCTGTAATGTCCTTCCTCTTGCCATGCCAGAGGGTCTGTTTGCCTGCCCCTCCTCAAACACTGCACTTTTTCCCCTTTTCCTCTGAGACTTAAGTCATGCAGGGTGGCCCTGGGGTTGTATTTTGTTCCACAGTTATCATGTTACACACAAGAAGAGAAATGTCATTCTAGTTGACAGAGACCCCAAGCTCAGCCAGTGATAGAAGCTGCTTTGTGTTTTCATTGCAGCTCTATCTGGGCAAAGCAAACAGTTGGCATTTGAATGGTTTAACCATCAGCATAAGCAAAGTGGCATATCTAATATCTTACCCATACAACTCAAGGAGTTTGTATTTAATTTCAGTCTTCTGCTCATGGCTGAGCTCTTGGCAGAATTTGAACTGATGCAGGGCTGTAGCCATTGCCCTCAGGGACATTCTGCCATGTAGAAAGGCTGGAGGTAAGTGGCAGATTAGATTTCCAAGTAGGTCGACATCATATTCATCAGCAATGGACCCATTCTGAAACAAGAAACATTTACCTTGTTGACAGAGCTAGTCTTGCCTCTTGCCCTCTATCTGTCAACTGCATCATGACACATTTAATCTCTGCAACCCTTTAAGGAACAAAGACACAATAGTTTGCACTGGCAACTTAATCTACAGTTTCTGCCAAGACTGGTTTATACTTTATGCTTTTAACAATGCAACTGGTGGTATTTAATAAAAAATAATTAAAGCCCAATCTCCTACCACAGTCTCTATATCCAGGTGACCCCGACCACCTGAAGAGGTGGTGCAGGTCTGCCTGGCAGTAGAGCTCTCATGGCCCTTGTGGCAATGGGCCACAAGCTTTTGCTGTCAAAAGGCTCAGCTCTGAGGGGTTTCTCAAACAGCTTCCAAAACACTAGGGATTATATGGCTGGTGAGTATGTTTAAGGACAAAGGGATAAAGGGGAACAGCTTCTGGAGCATCAGGGTTAGCTCCAGGCTGTTCTGGCCAGTTAACTGTGGTCAGCAATGACATTTCATGAGAACACTATGTAACATGCATGGACTCAAGAAAAATTCTTAAGGAAGCTACAAAAAAAAAGTTTCCTCAGGCAGGGAACAATAAATCAAAACAGTACATGGGAAAAGACATAATACAGATGGGTAAGTCAGGAACTCATGTCAATAGTGACTGACATTACAGCATGAAATGTATGTGCAAACAGAGTGCCAGAATGGCTGAATCTGAAAGGACCTCTGGAGAGTGCCTGGTCCATGCTCCTGCTCAAAGCAGTGCAGCTACAGCAGGTTGCTTGTGGCCTTGGCACTAGGAGGTCCTCTGACCTAGGTGATAGTCTAAGCTGCTCTTGCTTGCAACGATGAAGAAATTAGCATGCTGTGTTGGACTCCCAGAGTCCACCAGCTATGATTCCACCACACACACACAGAGCAGGAGAGCTTGTCTCAGACTGCTGTCTGTAGAGAAGAGATCATGAGTGTGTCCATGTGGACTGGAGAGCACAAGCAGGCAAGACAACTGTGATGCACCACCTGACAATAAAGGGAGAGAAAACTAATCAACCACTCTCACTTAGTTTGGAATTGTCAGTGGCTAATTACAGATTACTTCTTTGCAGCTCCCCTTCGCTACTGACCCCTCCCAGCCATACCTACCAAGCACTCCTGGACTTTTTGCAGGACCGCGTTCTTTTTGTGAAGGCCTGGATTCAAAAGGTCCATCTCTGTCTTCCCCAGACTTTCAATGAAGGGGACACACAAAGAGTGCGAAATATACTTCAGGTACTCAACCCTGCAGAAAGAATTCAGATGGTCTCAGAACGCAAACCTGACTTTCATACATCCAGAAACACACCCATAAGATGTGTTATGATGGAAAAATCCAGGGACAAGTCTAGGCTTTGAAAATCATAAACTGGCCAGGCCAGAAAACTCACAATTAATCCAGACCTTACCTTAACTTGCATCTTCTTCCATTTATTTTAGCTGACATCAGCAACAATATAAGCAGCAACATTACAGGGTTTTTCATTGCTGCCAGACCCCTGCATTGCAATTCAGCCTGTACACAGAGCACTTCAAGGGGGATTGATTTCAGGGGTGCAAAGGAACCCATAACTGTGACAAAAATGGGCTATACCAATAGACATCAGTTCTTCAGAATGAGGGTGACAGACCACTGGAATAGGTCACCCAGACAGGTGGTGGAGGCCCCATCCCTGGGGACATTCAAGATCAGGCTGGATGAAGCTCTGAGTAGCTTGATCTAGTTGGAGATGTCCCTGCTTAAGGCGAGGGGGTTGGACGAGGTGACCTTTGGAGGTCCCTTCCAGCCCAGACATTCTATGATTCTATGATTAACTTTCACTTGACACAGATTTTGGGTACAGTCAGTGACCACTTTTTATAAATTGCCATTTGTTTGAATCATCAGTTTTCTTAGGACTGAAAAGGTTATTAAAAAAGTGCTCAGAAGCATTACTCCAAAGGTACTGCTATGAACGCAGTAACTTAAGACATAGTAAGACGTAACTTACGGAAGCACCAATAAAAGGAAGGGAGGAATAGATGCATTGGAAACTTTCCAAAACTTCCATGCCAAACAATTAACCTAAAAGCAACAAAAATTAAAGATCTTAGATATTTGGAAAATTTGAGGAAGAATGAAAACATGGTTTATTACATCTTACAAATTAGTGTATATAAAACTCTGCATATTATCTTCAAAGAACATTTTTCTTTGGTTATTTTTACAGAGACACAGCATCCTATATTTGCATGCATGGAGCACTTGTACGTTTTCGAAACTGATGTAAGTTTCCAAACAGATTGCTCATGAATGAGCAAGTTAGAAGGGCAGTAGAAATTTCTTGTAATTTGTAAGTGACAAATGAAATTGTCAAAATGAAGTAGTGTAACAGACAAATTTGCACATAAAAGAATTAAATGAGATATGTTAACAGACAAGTTGACACATAAGATTTTGAAAAAAATGAAAACAGAATTAAGCAAATTCTAATTTACTTACAGTTTGGATATTGGTTAGTATGTTTATGTACACAAAGACTTCTTTTGGTTTTACCTGATATGGAGAAAGCAGATGAAGATTGTTTTCAAAGAATTTAAAATTGTTTAAAAAAATGTCAGTGCCCATACTTTCAATGAGTTGGCAAGTGACTCCTTTCACAAGCTGTCCTGTGCTGATAAGAAAGGCAAAATTCAATCTTTTGAATATTTAAGCAGGATCTAGTGTTTACTTCCCATAACCTTGTCTTTTTATACAGTTTCTGACTACCTCTTTTTCCCATGTCTTGTAATTGAAATGCTATCAAAAGTAAAAATATAGTCGAATTGGAAACTATTCACTGAGTTTTAAACCACCAAAGCCTCTGCAACACTTTGCTCCTGACTTTGGATTTGGAGACCTTTTTTAATGAGGAAGGTGAATTATCCTGTGGTACCAAGGAATGAATAAATGCAATATAGTACAAAATAACCACTAAGTGTTTATGTTTATTTTTATCTCTCATCACAAAACTAGACTTAAACCCCATTTCAAGAGACTATTTTCCATACCTTAGAAGGTCAACAGGGTAGTTTTTCTTAGACAGTAAATCATACAGATACAAAGCCTGAAATAAAACCCATCATATTTAAAGTTAAGCTTGGGTAATTCAGTTGCAAGATACAGTTAACTACTGTAAGGTTTTTGTATACTTGACTCTCTTCTGTACTCTAAAAGCACTTCTATGGTCCAGTTTGGCCAGCCAAATGATTTGGCATCCCGTGCTAAATTTCTTCCTCACAAGACATCACTGACTAGCACTATAGGATGATGTTAAACATGTCCATGGCACACAAACACAGAAAAAATTACGTTTGAAGGGATCCCTGGAGATCACCTGGTCCAACCTTGCATCTCTTTGGACAGGGCCAAAGGGCTGATTATACATATAAATGCCTAGTACACAGCAGCAGAAAGAGAACATTTTAAAGTCTTTAAGATTCTGCCATGTAAACTCAGCGTATTAATGCTTCCCTGTTTGTAACACTGTCTCAACATGCTGCCTAGGCTCTAAGTGACCCCTGGCTGTTTATGCCAAGATGTATTTGGGGCAGTTCAGTCGTTTTACCTATCTTCCTTGAATGCACCACAACTTTTCCTATTCTCCCATAATACTAAACTGCAGTGGAATGAGAACTGCATAGTATTTTTTACCTGGCTGCTTCTTAGTTCTTTTCCTCTCATCATTGAAGAATTATATCCAGTCTGCTTCCACAAATCAGAAAGAGATATTTCTTTAAAGAAAGCTCCTTGTATATCTTTGACTGTTAAAGAAAAATCCCCAGATGCAGCTATCTAAAGAAAGGAACAGATAAATACATGGCGTTTCAGAACTGATGCCTAGATTTACAAGATTTGCCCTTCTTTCTATTCTATTCTATGTAACATTCCTCTTAAGAGGATAAAGGAAAAACATGTCAGTATTAAAAATGCCACAGGACTAAGCAGGAGAAAGCCTTCAAAACGTACTTGGTGTTTAGAAAAAAACACTGGAAATGTTAACCATTAAACTAAACCACACATCTCAGTGACAACATTTTAAATTGTGTTCCACCTATTTGGTTATTGTGCTTCTGTACAGAGAACATGCTACAAACTCAAGTTTATAATCACCTTCCTGAGGATCCCTTGCTGTTGTGCAGGCGATAAGTCAGATAAGTGTTGGGATGTTGTGCCTTGAATAATCTGAGAAAGCTCCTTTGGGTTCATGCTGTAGAATGTCTGGGTGCTAATACCAGTTACCAACATGCCCATGTGACTAATATTATGAAATGATAAATCCTGCAGAGATAACAGCACAAACAGGAAGTTTTCTAGCATCTGAACAGTAGATATTTTTAAAAGTGGAAGTTAATAAATAAATCAAAGCTATTATTGTTGAATAATTAATACATTTCTTGCCTGGGGATTCACTTTCCTCAGATATCTTTCAATTCAGACAAGACTGTTCAGGGAATAAATACAACAATTTTCTCAGAGGCTACTTTTTTAAAAACAAAACAAAACAAAACAAAACACTTTGGGAAGGACTCTGTTTTCTTCCATTACAGTATATTTGACTATATAGTCTGGGATCTCTGATCATGCAAATTCTGCTTAGACAAAATAACATATGCAAGTGCCAAATGCAAACAGTCATTCTCTCACTAGAGAATTACTTTGAGATGTACAGTTTGGGATGTTTTTATTTGATTCAAACAAATTTTTCAGAAGACTAACAGTATTAAAAAGAAGTCTTGTTCTAAACTTTTCAAAGTCTATGGTTATTGTTGAGAAAAAGCCATTTCACTTTTAAAAATAGAAGGTAGGAAAGCTGTTATCAGAGGTACCTTTTCATAAGAGAGGTATTTACTGGATAAAATCATTACTTGGCTTTTTGCCCACCCAGAGACTTGGTTTAATGTTGCAATTGCACTATGCACTGCTTCAGGTGACAAAGATTCCAACTGACTTGAAGTTAGTCCAACCACAGCATCTGACAGAGATCCAAGGATATCATTCAATGTCTGGTTTTGCATGGCAATATTCAGGAGTTGAGATTTGAGCTAAAGTAAAAACATAAAGCGAGAAGGGAAATAAAAATCTGCCAAGAACCAATTTTCATTAGCACCCAAAACTTTAACTGGAGTTTCTGCAATAGGCACTGACAAACATTTAGTGACCACACGCTTCATAAAGTTTTAAAAACAGAACCACAGTTGTCAAAGGAATATGGAAAGGGAGGAAACAGAATGAGAAAAGAATGTGCACTGTTAAAAAAAAAAATAAATAGGCATCTATTCTTTGCATTATATGATCTAGATTTTCTTCCAATCATTTCTTAGACCCCAGTCATTTTTCACTCCTAGTCCTGAAAACAGAGAAATAAGGTTGGAAAGAAAGGTTAGGCAAGAAGAACAAACATTGTACACACCAGTTTAGGCAAGAAGAACAAACATTGTACCCACCTTCTGAACCTCAGCCTGGAAACCTCTCAACTGATTGCATTTAATCATTTGATGAAGTAAAGCCCGTGCCACAGCAGCATCCACCTGTTCCACACCATCATAAAAGCATACCAACAAACCTAACCTATATAGAAGAAAACACATTAGCTAACTTCTGCTTAATTCTCAGGAAACTGAAATATAGTATGGTATACCCTAGTTGTCCTCAGAACTTGAATAATTTCTGTCTGTCACTAGTGGCTTAAACTACAATCTTCAAAACTCCACATGGTCTGAAACTGAGGTATGAGACATATGCACTGTTCTCTGCATTCAGCTGAGCTCTACCCAGACTGCTTGTGCTGTCAAAAATTTAATCTTCCTGGTTCCATTTGTCTGTAGCTGGATTTTCCCACATAACTTCACTCCCCAGGGCAGAATTTGCAGTATAATCTCTGCTTTGAAAAGGATGGAGGGCTAAATAAGTCTCTAGAAGTGGCTTGCTGAGTTCTTATCTGGATTGAATAGATGTTTTGAACTGTAAACCCTGCTTGGATTCCACATGCAACATAACTCGTTCATGCACCAGAGCAACAGCTAGAGCATTGCACAGTCTCTTTATCACTTCAGGATTAAACAAACCCTGATGTACTTCACATCAAACGTATGACTGGCCGGTGGGTGGAGACTTGCCCAGTCTGAACTGGCGAGGAGAAGGGGTGCTGAGGCTCACTCTGTTAGTTGTACCAACACAGCAGTTTGTGAGGCAGTGCAGTGAACCAGGTGTGGAGCTCATTTTTTCCATGGCACCCGTGCTGTCATACTGAAGTCAGCATTCCCATTAGCCTCTGTGAAGCACAACCACAGCCACAGCTGGTGGGAAGAAGCAGTCGTGCTGTCAAGGGTAAACACCTGCTGTAGGTGGCCTTCTGACTTAAGCCTTCTGCTTACCTGCTGCCACTACCTGCAGGCCTACAAAGGAGGACTGAATTATTCATCACTCTCTCTGGAATTTAAACTTCACAATGATGGTGATGAGTTCATTGGTAGGAAGCCTGTCACTATAAACAGCTACCCTTTGCTTCTATAATTTATACAGGACAAGAACATACAAAGCCCAATTTTCCTGCTACAGTGTCTGGTTTTTAGCAATTCAATGGTGCAGGTATAGGCAGAGTCTAGGCAATGATGTCCAGATGTGAACTAAACCAACAGCAGACAAAGCTGCAACACGATGACAAACTCAGTAAAATCCTGAGGCGCAGAGAAAGGCTTAGCTTTTAGTTCCTCTCGCCCCCCAACAACCTGCTTAGCCATACAACAAAATATTGCCTCAGTAGCCCATCTGAATTCATGGCACATCAAACTGACATACAAATCAAAGAAACATTTATAACTGCATTTTTACAACAAATAATTACCTTATGATGTATTACTTCGTAGCCACTAAGAGTTCTTCATATCCCTTGGGATTAGCAACAATGAATAATACTGCTTCTTAAAGTGCATTTAAATCATCAGTATGGTTAAAAGGAGTAATATAAAATAAGTGTTATAAAAATTGAATATATTAAGGATCATGTAGCATGACATTTCTATCATCTGTGTGAGAATGTGGCACCTCTCATGAGTGGTAAAATAATTTTTACGGTTTCTGACACTGAAATTTAGAGTGTGGGCACAATTCTGCTGTCACATCACTGACAATCAGCAATACTCCATGGAATTCAGGGAGTTACATTGCAATAATGACACGAGCTCAGAAGCCATAAAGCATATTCTCCATTAGTTTAAAACTCCAAGGTATCCCCCAAGGACACTACAAATAAATTCAGACAGTGGTGTCTCAGGACTGAATACATCCATTTATACCACTATGCAAGTGTAAATGTGGAGCACAGCACCTTCTCACAGGTAGCTCACACTCACTGCATATTTGTGAGTAAGAGTAGTTTATTTTATTTTTTATTATTGTTAAAGTAAATTCAGTGCTGATTTGACAGCCCTAAAAATGCAGCTGCCTGCTTACACACATAACAGTCACATGTTTTTAAACGTGGCTCATCTCTACCCTGCAGAACATAAAGAGGGCAGCAGGACAGGCTTTATGCCTCTTCACTTTGTGACATCTTTGGTGACATTCATGCCAATTAAAAACCACTTGCAGTCCTGGCTGACATGAGCTAAGATTTCCTCCTTCAATCCCAACTATAATATGATTTCCATAAAGCATCTCCATCTCCTGTGATTCAAACAGCTAAGGCAACTCATGTCCCACTATCCCAATTTATTTTACTGCACAATGCAATGGAGCTTTGATTGGCTCACCAGATACTGCTGTAATCCCCCCACTAATACTACAGACAACTCCTCACTGCAGAGCAGAAGACAAAGCATTAGCTAATTAGGCAAGCCACCACCAAGAATTCATAAAGTAGCAATTCTTCATTGTTGCTAAACAGGGTTGGATTTCAGCCCAGATTTTTCTGCTGTAAGGAAAAAGCTATGCCACATCAACAATTCCATCAACTACTTACTGCTCACCTCTTTTCTCCTTACTTCTAAATTTGTTCTTTCCATACATTATCATAAAAGAAAAAGAAAAGCACTCTTGCCTGTAGATAGTAGAAGTGTTTCTCATATCAAATCCTGATGAGTTTATTCTTTCCAGGAAAGCTTGTGCAAGCTCTGGTGTGATATCATACACTGTGTCCAACTGCTTTGTTGCATTGTCATAGCTAATGAATAGTCTTATCTGACCAGTATAAATAAAATCATGCATCAGGATTATGAAACAATTGCAACCAATAAAATATGTAATACTAAAATAGTTCAACTTCATTCAAGTTATACAGAAAGGAAAAAGGCAGATTTGGATAATACAGTATTTTTGAAGGCAAAGCTGAGTGAACAATTCTGGCAAACTGTCAAATAATTTGAGGGTTTTCTATCATTGGTCCCTATCTTTCTACACGAACCACAGAAGTCTGATACAGTTAAATAACTACACATTTATGATGAGCACTTTCAAAATCCCAAAAGAGAAGAATATTTTGTTGACAATGGATTTGGATTCACTATGCATTTAAGTACTGAAGTATATACACTTTTTTCATGTTTAAGTTTGCATTTGTGTTCACATTGTTTGTCACTGGCATCAATTGACAATGACACACCCAACCACATTTTGTTACTTACTTCACCGAGTCCAATTTTCAGAATTTCTTCTAATGGCAGATGGACCATATATCTTCCCAAAATCCATAAGCTTTCTGCACTGACCCAAGAAGTGGATTCATTGAACTCTGTTTTGTACAAATAAGTATTCACTACAACATTAAGTAATTATTTTTCAAATATATTGTACTCGGTGTATTACTATTGGTGAATAATATAAAATAAAATAAAATCTGCAAAGCAGAAAACTCTTTAGCAGAGAGAGTCAGGTTCCCTCTTTTAGCCAGGCTTTAGCACCACATTTTAATGATCCCATACGTTTTTTTATGACAACAGTGTTTCAAATGTCTCAGATGTTCTCATATGAAAATAATTCATGTTTTATGTTGTGGAAATAGAAAATGGACTGAGTATAGGACAGGAAAAATTAAACCAATAGTATTAAATATAAAGAAGCATTTTTAAAGTTCAGTTTCCCTAATCAAATACATTGCTTAAGAATACCAGGAACACATGATACTTTGTAACACTTGATATATCATATAAATTTTTTTATTGATGATGCCACTTATTTCAGCAATATCTAATAGTAATAATGGAGAAAATTAAAAATTATTCATACACCTATATGAAAATATAGGAAAAAACACAAAACACTGAATAACAGTTAAAAAATGTCATTCCTTCAATAACATTTTCCCAAGGACTGAAAATTAAATGAAGATATAAACAGCCCTGAGGGAAAAAATATTTATGGATTAGGTGGGTACTCTGAGCCACACCATGTTTTCTGCAAGGTGTCATAATGGGGATGGCTGAACATGCAATACCTCTGAACGTATTCCCTACCAGTGTCAATACCTACAACACTGTTAGAATAAAATCATCAGTGCACTTTGAGGAGTTTTCAGTATCTGAAATAAACCAGCCTAGAAATATCAGATGCTAAGAACCCTATTTAATAAGTGATTTTTTTGAAAGCACAGATTTAAGCTCCTTAGCTGAGACAAGACGATGCTCCCAGTAGACATGTCAAGCCTCTGTTTTTTTAAGTAATATCACCTCCCACTAGCAGGAATATTAAAAGAGTTGAAATATATAATAGAGAAGTTAAACAAAAACTAGCACAGTTTAAGGATGTTGACTGGCCTTTTGCAGGAAAAACTTGCAGTTACCAACCATGGCAGCCGTGATCCCCCCTAAACGATTTTGGTATTTTTAAATAAGGTACAAAATTCAAAAATTACATCCTCCTGTTTTTGCAAGAGCTAGCAGCATGCTTCATCCCTGAATACCCCCGTGGTTTTAATATATGAAACATGATAATGGCTGAGTGACAAATTTTGTAAAAGGTTTGACTCTGAGACACAGAAGCGTCACCTCCTGCTCACTCGGTGATCCAGCCGCAGGGGCTGCCCGACACAGCAGGGAGATGCAGTGTGATGGCAAAGCCCTCTGTGTTTCTGCAGGCACAACAAAGACGTGGCAATGAGCTCTCTGTCACCAAAACCAGTAAAATACTTGGAAACTGGCCCCATAAGCACCACAAATGTGAGGCTTCAAGTTCCTTTCTGCCGAGCTTCAGTGAGGAAGATGCTGCTTCTGCAGCAGCCTGATCCCTTTTCCCAGGTGGTCCCAGAGCTACCCACATATAAAGTTAACGTGATTAAACCAGACTACTGCAGGACTCTTCTGTTGTCCTCCATGAGGACATGTGCTGTGCAGATATACTTAAGGTTGGCTTTAGACTTGCCAACCTGGATGCTGGTAGCAGTCCAGCGCTGCCTGCTCAGGGCTGATGGGTTCTGCAGCCCATACTACCAGAACTAGCTGGTAATCAATCAGTCCACACCTGAGGCCTTCAGGAGCGGATTCACTGTGTCTGCATGGCTTTGCATCTGAAGCAGTAACCAGGAGAGGCAGGGTGATTCTCAGTTCTTCCTGAGCTGGGTGACCTTTTACAAACTAAGGGTTCACTGATGTTTCAGACACAACCAAAGATGTCTGATGCTGTGGGATTTTCCCAGGACTGCTGAGTACCATCAGGCAAGTTCTGCATCTTCTCTTCCCCAGTAATCCACCGGCAGCAATACCACCTCACAGCAGCAGCATGAACTTCCTCTCTACAACATAATGGGTTACTCTGATATTTTGAAAAGGTGCAAGTCCCAGGAGCCAAATTTAGCTCCTGAAATGGGTATTTTGCCTTTCATTCCTAGGGACAGATGAAGAGCATACATATCTAAAAGTCTAAAATGCTCCCACGACAGCACTGCTGGGACGATCAGTGAAACCCAAACACTGGCTCCAATGCGCCAGTGCCACTGTCACTTTACAGCCCCCTCCTGGAGCCTGGCCTGCACTGTCCCAGCTGTGGCACATCTGTTTAAGACACATTAACAAGGCAAACAGATGTGGTAAAATGCCTAAAATCAGAATTAACTTTGTTTCTATCTTGTTCTTTTTCTGAACAAGTCAGTGCCACGTGCAGTAGAACTTTCACAACAACCTGCATTTCTTTCGTATTTTTGAAGACCACATTGGCTAACATATCCCAAGACAGATCTATTTTTCTCGTCTGAATAGGAGTTCAGAAGTGAACAACACGCCTGTGCAGAGTACCTGACAACTGTATCCTATTTCAGTCTTAGAGAAAGGACTTGAGAACAGAGAGCTTGTGTATAGCTCTGCACAGAAGAGACGAAGAGCAACCAGCTTTGGAGAACTATTTGCTGCGAAAAACAATTATATTATGTTCACTTAAACAGATCCAAGTTACATTTGGGAAACATTTCAATACAATGGATAGGCCTTTTGCTGACTATTTTTCTCTTAATAAGCAAGAAAGAAAATAATTTGTATGTAACATACCGCTCATGTTACAGGATTGTTGTAGAATCTGCTTCATCCACCCATACAGAGCTCTCTGTGCATTTGCTGAGGTTTTGTCATAGAGATCCTTGAATACTGTTGATCTAAGTGATATAAGGGCATGTTAGTTCACGAATGAGTTAACTATTTTTTTTTAAAATTACACACATGGACAAATGTTTTTAGAAACAGGAACATTTAAGTAGAAACCTGTATCTGCAAAACAGACTGAGATCATATAATAACCTATTTTTAAAAGTATATATAGTCAGCAAATTCTACATTAATTGTGCCTGGAAAATAAATGGCTTACAAGTTTCGGAAAGCATCCTCCAGCAGAGTGTTTGGGAGGCTCCCGATGACATCAGGTTGAAGATAATTTACCATTGACACACGCAAAACCTGGCTGAGGATATCCACACAGTCCAAAGCACTCAGGGCCAGAAAGCATCTATCCAGTGTTATAAGAAATAAGGTCCTGTTTACTCCTGGGCTTTGAAAAATTCTCTCTCTAGCCTTGTCCCAGTCAAGAATAATATTTCCTATTTCCTGCAAGCAACAAAGGGTTAAAATTATGTCTCTTTGATTAATTCAATATATTGTTCATTCTGAGGCCTGACAGAAAGCACTCTACAAAAAATAGCTGCAAAATACTGTCTGGTTGCATTAGCTCAAATAATTCCTTTCTGGCATTGCCCAGAGACCAGCTTAAATCTGTTGACAAAATCAAAATGAAAACCAGAAAAATAATCCGAATGGCTGAAGTTATAGTGTGTGCTCTCATGGAACAATTAGTTACTTGGAAAATGAAAAGATATCAGAACTGAAAGGGTATTATTTCATATATAATTAACATGTAAGACATCTCTAGAACAGACCTTTTCCCACACAGTATTTCTTGCAGCCGTTAGTACAAACATCCCCTCCACAAGAACGGGCAACATCAAAGAACCAAGCCCAGGCAATAAAGTCACCCTGGTTGAGAATGGATCATTAGGTTGCTCTGTCTCACAAGTCAACATGTCTAGGACAGCCTGTTCAGTGCTGATAGTCCTGGGCCTGGTCATTTTTTTATGCAGTCCTGGAAGAACTGGGTGTGCCGTTAGAGAAGACAAAATTGTCAGCTTTTGAAAGGGCTTATGCTCTCCTGCTCTGGCACCCAGTGCATGCTGCATGCACATCTCTCCTGTGTGCTTTGGCAGGAGGAGCTGCACCACCACTGTTTGAATAGTGGATTATACAGTGTTTGTTCTGGGCAGTCACCCCATGCATATGGGAAAGTGCTCTCCCTTCCTCCCAGATTAATCTCCACCCCGTCAGCAAAACCCAGGCTGTAGGCCCTTCCTCCCAGCCGGGGAGATGCCAGGTGCTCCCACACACCAGCCAGGATCCCAGCCCTGCAGTGGGGTTTCCCTCTGCAGGGCCAGCCCTGCCTGGGTGGCAGTCACTGGCTTTGCGCAAGACTTTGGAAATGACTCACACAGGAAACACAACGGAGGCAAGCAAACTGTATTACGCTGCCTCTCCTCCAAAGTGCCTAACAATTTGTTTGCACACTCCCATAACTCATGAACAAGATAACTAATTTCACCTTTAGTCAGTTTGGCTCCCTTTCTAGCCACTGAAGAGACGCAGGTACTCCCTGAGAACAACTGGTCCTATCCACCTTAGATGCTTGCGCAGGAAGGTAAATCATGCTCTGGAGATGTGGTTCTCCCCACTGATTACAGGGTAAATCCAGACAACTAACTTGGAACCAAACTTATAAACAAGAATGAAATGCAGTAAGTCCAGTCTAAGGAGAGGGGCTCCTGGAATCCAGTCCAAAGCAGCTACGTAACTGCATGGCATGCACTGTGAGACCCCCCCCAGTCTGGCCCTTTTCCCTTTACATAAGCCACTGACAGCAGCTTTTTTTTTTTCTTCACAAGTGCAAAGTGACTTACAAGATGGTCCTTTCTGTTGTTGAAGAGATAGTTCATTGCAGTTTGGAACTGCTGCTGATCAAGTTGTTGAAATTCAGATAGCAGTTGCCTAGGCTGGTATAAAAGGTTCTTCAGGTAACTTTTTATAGACATCTGAAGTATAGAAAAATATACATAATATACATAAAACTCGTATTATTGTACTAGGGGCATCTCATCTAAGGGGAGAGAAGTGCTTAGCTCCTGCACTGTCTGTGTTGTCAATGACTAGAATAACCATATCTAACACAAAGTGTAACCAAAAATAATCTAAATGTAATTCTGACAGTAATTTAAAAATCCTATTCATGGCTTCATGAGAGAGTCTCTTCCAGTGAGCCATTTAAGAAAAATGTCTCAGTTTCTCACATCATAAAACAAGAGTACTAATGCTTTTCTGCTTCACACAGCAGAGTTGTGAAATGGAAACTTTTAAACAGCTCAGAAAAATCAGGTAGACGTGTGCATACTATTATTACTTAAAAAAAGGAAGGAAATGTGCAATTAGATGGGAGGAAAAGTCTGTAGCAGGTTGTAAGGTAAAAATATTCTCTCTCACATCAAGCTGCATTACCAGTTAACAATCTCATGCCTGTTTTGAAAATCTAAGGGGAATTGTAACATTGTAACAGAAAGCACTGTAAGGCTTGTTAGCAACAGACTGGAGTAAAATCCCTACTAATTCCTGACAGAATTATTTCAAAATTGGGTTGGAATTTGAGTTGAAACTGTTCTTTGTTGTCTTTGCTTGGCCTGCATTGCCACCAACAAATACTAATTTAGTTAGGTCCTTGCTGTCTAGGGGGTCTATGCCTGCTTACAGCCTCACACTGCCAATAATTGTCATCAAATGGGCAGTGCTCATCTGGTGTAGGTTGGATGAGCTGTGATGGTGAAACAGAGTTTGGAAAAATGTTCAAGTGCCATAGAGCTACATGGCTGTGGGTTTTTGGGAATGCCTGAGGCTCAGAGACCACACATTTGACACTTACCTTTTTCAGAGTGTGTCTGTGCATGTAGGGTGGAGGGAGGACCTCAGGTTTTGATTAGCAGGTTACAGCTCCTCTTAAACTAGCTCATAATTAATCATGAAGACAAGGGATAAAGAGCAATGACTTCTTCCTATATCACTTCCACATTGATAATTTATATAAACAGAGTTCAGAGGAGCTTTAAAAGATGGATGCATTTTGTAGGATGGATGCTCTGGAGCCACTCATTCCATCAGAAGCAGTGCAAACTATAGCCACAGTCAAAATCTGGGAGAAACCTGTCATTTTATGGAGAAACAGCATGTGTATACCCTCAGCTCAGAAACAATTGCAGAGCCTGAAAAACCCTAATTTCTGCTTTCCATCAGAGGAAAAGCAGAAATATCTTATTTAATATTATTTCTGCCTTGCACAGTCCTGAAACTTTAGGGGAAAAAGACAACCAAATAACCTATTTCTATTTCCTACCTTATCTGCTGCATTGCAGATCTGTTAGTTATCTCTAATATTGACAACTTGGTTTTGGATAGAGAGATAGGTTGGTTTTTAATCGTTTTTTAAATAAAAATTTTAAATGGCACAAACCTGCAGGCTGCTAAGACTAACCATAACTTCCTGGGCATTAAAATATGCCATGACTTTTGTAAGCATGTCTGTTGTCCACACATTAGAACTGTAACAGAAAACAGGACCAAAAATGCCAGTAAAATAATATAACAGTTAAAATAGCAGATTGTAAGACAAAACAAGAATAAGAAAAACAGATATTGCTACTAACACCATAATGACAAACATATTCAGCCTTCTGACCTAACCTAACTAATAGCTGACCTATTTAATGCAATGAAAATCCATGGTTCAATGAGGAATGGGATTAATTAGCTTTTTTCCATCTAACTCCACACCACCCCAACGTGTTGCGATTAATACCATCTCCAGGCATCAGACAAGCTGTGGTGTGGCTAGTCTGGAGCTAGAGCTGCACTTCCTGGCACCTCTTTATGCCTCTTCTAATCTCCTTGTAGAAAGAAAAGTACAGTGACTAATGTCTGCTGCCTTTCCTTCAGCAGAGTCATTAATTCCAGTGTGTCTTCTTTACACAGCCATTGATTTTCTCAAAATATCTAGGAGCGGAATTGCCTTTGAGGCTTATAATGCTCTTTCAAATTTAGAGAAAAGTAGGAAATAATTCAAAAGTCACCAGGAGCTGGAGGAAGTGGGATGGAGCAGAACTGAGAGAGATGGACAGAAAGCTGGAACTGCACCTAGTTTCCCTAAGAAACCATTCTGAAACATATGAACAAAGTTAACTATCAAAACTTTTGAAAACTGTAGCAGATATTTACTCTCAGGCTCATTCTATGCATGGTTTTTGCTTTATCATGAAAAAGAGCTTTTTGCTTGTTAAAAGATAAGACTCCTCATAGGACACCTAAATCAAAGTAATCACATGTGCCAATGGCATTCTATCCATAATGTTCCTGTGGAAATGAAACAGATCATATCTGAAGTGCAAGATACTACTGAAAAATCAAGATGGTGAGAGTAATACATTACCTTTGGAAATTAAGTATATCAAGGAGCGCTGCACATGAAAAATGGAACATAAAAAGTTATGCTGCAATATTAGTTTCATTCCTTTTAGAAATCTAAGTGGAAACAATTCCATACATTACCATTTAGATATTTCCCAGTTATTACTTCCTCCTAAGGAAAAAATTATAAATATATGTAATAAATTATTTTTAGATTATAATATAGAATGTTCGTAGTGAGAGGAAATAAAAATACTAACCACAGCTTTGTGTAATAATGGAGGCAAATCTGTAAAAGATCATATTACTAAAAGTTGATTTAATGTTTTACCATTCAACCGCCTCATACAAAGATACACATATTGTATGCAGTGACTGATACTATATATACACATTTAATACAATTTTGATTAAATATATTTACAGAAAGTAAAAATAAAAGGCTATTAAAAAGCAATCTCAGTTAAATTCTTCACTGGTATAGCTCCACGAAGTCAAGAGAGCAGAGAATGTTATCCTAGTTACTAAATGGCACTGCATCTATTTTACTACACATCAGTTTCTTCATATACAGAAAATACATCCCTCAGAACATGCATCAGGACTACTGGTCTTACCTTCCGTGTTCTGACTGTGTGTAATCTCAGCATGATTCATTGATATCAATAAGAAACATATCTTCAAAAGTCTGGACATTTCTTCTAGTGTCTATTTAGAATCCAAAGATAATTGGATTGAAAAGGAAAATAAAAAGAACAGAGTCAAAAGGCAATATTCACACCAAACTTTCATAGCTGTAAATCAGAGACAGCCTAAGCTATGGAGTGCAGATAGGCATCAGAATGATCTTGAAGTGCTTGCTCCCAAGTTTTTAATTTAGATGTTTTTCCAGGATAGAGATATATTTTATGCAAATACAGGTCCACCAAGGGTGCATGTCCAGCCAGATTTAATACCTTTTTACCAAGTAGCTTTTTTAATTTTCTTCCTAGTAGCACCGTTTATTGACTAAGTCACATTTCACCTAAATATGACTTAAATGCAGTTTTGTTAAAGCAAACAAAGCCTTTTGAACTCAAAGTAGAAAATGGAGGGAGTGAAAAAGGAAATAGTAAAGAAGCTCCAAATAAACCCTAAGCTTTTTCTAGCTCGTCAAGCTGCTCACACAATTACTGCGGACTAAGTCTGGGAGCCTCCACTTGCAGAGCTCTGAGCCCAAATGGCGGGAGGGCCTGGCCCTCTCTCTTGCTCTGTGTCATCCCCGGGTGCTCCAGGCAGGCAGGGTGAAGGAGTGCTCCCCTCCCCTGCCCCTGTCCCTCTGCAAAAAGGGTGAAAATGCCCTGATGCCCTTCTGAAGCAGAGGGAAAGCAACACATTTGGGAAACAGAGTTCAAGACCATGCTACTTCATTTAGACGTGGCAAAACTCCAGTCTTTGTACTCAAGAGAAGCATACCATCCATTTTTCACCACCAGCTAGGACATAGTTTCTATGGAAATAGGTGTTTTAGTAGCTCTTGCGATCCCTGCTGCCCCGTGCTATGTGGCATACAGATCACTGAAAGATAAATTAGCTGGAAGGGCAGTAACAAGCTACCCGGAGCTTTTCACCACGGCGTTACTGATTCTAATCAGAAAAGACTGACAGTCTCACTGTTGTCCTATGTGAAATGAATCTGTTGCTTTTGGTCTAGTTCCTGAAGGACAAGGACCTACCTTGCAATAATGCAGTGGGATGGAAAGGAAGCAGAGAACGAGGAGGACTTGCTCATAGAGGTGTTTCTGCAGCCATGCCCCCTTCGCAGCGCTGAGGACCATGAGCTGCTTCAATCCACATGGAACCAAGTTTACTGCAGAGAGGGTTTTCTGCCTCTGCACCCTCATCCTGGTCCTCTGCCCAGCTGAGAGCATCATCATCCCCACAGGTAAAACAATTAATTAATCTGAGATATTAGATGATGCCCTGGTCTACAGATTGCAGCTTCTTACACTAGGATTAGTCCGCCAGTTTTAACAAATGACAAGGAAGGCCCTGCTGGCCAACTTTGCTCTGACCCTGAGGTGACTTTATTTTCTCTCCCTTTCCTTCATTTCAAAGGTTTACCTGCAGCCACACTGAATTTCTGCATTGCTTTTTGTTGCTGAAGTTCGATCCTTTTTTTTTTTTTTTTTTAAAGTTCTTTGCCATGGCTTGAGTTACAGATCTGAACATCTGATAAACACAAATGGCTTCTTCAGATTGTTTAATCTCACATATCAGCATGGCACTCTTTCACAAAAACGTATTTCAACAGCCTCTAGCAATACTTCATTCTATCACAAATACTTGACTCCAGTCTTGGAACAGGAGTGACTCAAACTGACAGATGATGAAAAATTGAAGCATTAGACTTTAAGAAGCTATCGTCTCTGTTCTGTTTTTGCACACACTGAAACCCTTTTCAGCCACTCTTTTGGGAGCACCAGAGTACGTCTCCCATTCAGACATATCTGGTTTCCTACAAAACAAATTTTCTTGTGTTTGTTTCTCCCTCTGCCCTATTAATTTTGCAGAAAGGTTTGATTACTCTGCAGAGTTTAAATCATGCTACCAATGTCAATCCTGATTTGTTTATTCCAACTCATTCACTTTGATTAGGGAGTGCATTTTAATTAAAGCATGCTAAATCAATGTATTAAGAGATTAAATGCTAAGGAAAGTGCTTTTTTATCCTGACTAACTCTAGTGGACAAATAGCAGGTGCAGAAAAAGTCTGAGATGGCCCTGCTTGATAAGACAATCTGTGGGATAAGAGTTCCTTTTGTCAGTGAAACCAGACTGCAGTAGTTCACTCGGCTCCCCAAAGCACCTTGTGGTGATCTCTTGCAGAACCCATCGAGCATTTCCTCAGAGATCATTCCTTGCAACATAGCAGCATATGCTGTGATCAGATCTCTAACATGTCACCCTTGCAGGACTCCCCAGTTATGAGGAGCTCCCAGATTGCCCTCTCTCTCCTCTTGCTCCCTAAACAGATGCTCTTCCATGTAAAGAATTCCTAGCCATTTTATCACTGTGATGCATGTGCTGCTTTATCTAAAGCTTGATAACCAGAAAGCTAACCTCATAATCAGAAGTCGTGCTGATAAGCCCTTGCCCTGCCAGCATCCCCCCCCCTCCTTGCAGCCAGGCTCCCAGCACCTCTGAAACAAAGCCCCACATGCAGCAAGGGAACCCTCAAGGGTTCAGGCTGGAAAGGGAGCGAGGGAAGCCAGCGGAGGGCAGAAGGGAACAGAGACGGTGGGTTCCTGGGGAGAGCCAGGACCCCCCCAGCACTTTACCTGCCTCTGCTGCGTGCGCCTCCTTCCCCTCGCTCGCACCGCAATGAGCTGGGCGGCTCCAGCCGGGACCCAGCGCGGGGGGCAGGGGCTGGGCCAGCACCGCCCGCAGCCTCAGGTGTCTGCCCAGCAGCGCCCAGCCTTCCGCCAGACGGCAGGGAAGAGTCTCCTCTGCTGGGGGCTCAGAGGGTGAGGGGCATCCCAGAAGAGGATGCTTCCCCTCCAGAAACGAGGGGAGCTCAACGAGCTGTGTGGGGGAAACAGAGGGCCAGCCTGGTGCTGCCCAGCACCCTGCTCCCCCACCTCCCCACCCGAGCACAGGCAGGAGGCCCTGGGCTCCTTGGAGCAGAACATGAGCTGACTGTACCTGGGATCACCCAGCAAAAGGGGGATTCTGCTTTCTGGGAGGTGAGGTTGCTCCAATTTTGCGTTGAAAGTTCCCAAATAAATTGTGTCCTTGCACAGCATCGTTTCCCTGCAATGCAACACATCCAGTGCCACCTCGACAGGACAGATACTTCACTCTCCAAGCCAAACCACTGCACCTGCTTGACAACACTGAGGTGTGACTTGCACATCAACACCCACAGCAGGACAGGGACAGTGGAGGGACAAGGCAGGTACCCAAAGCCCAGGAGTAATGAATTTGAACATTGCACTTGCAATAAACATTTGTCCGCTTGGATAACATCTTAAAAGTATTTCAGGCAATTTAATCAACTACTGGACTCAAGCTTTTTTGCACAGGCTGTGTGAGCAGGCAGTAACTGCACACAAATGCACTCAAGGTCTGAAAGGAGAAAGAAGTCTCTTCCCTGACACAATGAGCCCAGCTGGACCCATTCTTTCAGAAGGAACTTTGATTTTAGAAGTACAGGTGTAGGATCAGTACCTTGGGGCTACTCTGTACATTCTACAGGACTAAGCAGGTTTTTTACTCTGTTGAACATGGTATCTTAGAATTTAATCTTACTCTGTTCATAGCTTCTCCCTGTTAATGCTCATGCTCTAATAAGTCTTTTAATTCCCCATCTCAAGTATAAGAATGTGTTTAAATAGAGAGAACAAAATAGGAAAGTGTAAAGAAAAAAGCCCCTATTATTTACATTGCACCTGCTGTCCCCAAAACTGTCAAAGCTGTTACAAAACGAAGTCCTAAGTGACAGGACTGAAAGATAAAAGATGTGAAATGCAGTCTCTTACGTGATTTTTAACCTGTGGGATTACTTAAGTACCTTTGAACAAGTTTGTCTTAATATGTGTTTGCTACATAATCTAAACTCATTTCACATTAAGAAACATACTTTCCCACTGCTAGATGAGTACAAGTGAAGGTGAAAAACCAAAACTGAACAGATTCACTCCAAAGCATACATAGCCCATTTTTCCAACAGACAAATCTGATTGTGCTCTGTGCCAAAACTTGACAGCACATGCTAAAATAATAGTAAGCCTAAATTACTGCTGAGAAAACACACCAGTCAAACCTCATGCCCCATACTACAGAATACATGATTTCACAAAGATCATTGAGAATAAAAAGCTATTAAATTAGCAAAAGAAATCACTAACCATCAGGCAGAGGAAGTCCAAGGTAAACCTAAAAAGACATGCTGAAGCATCCTACCTGGCATGAGATCACATGAAAAAGAGAACAAAAAAAGAGAACAAAACCAAACCAAACCATATGAGCCACACCACACAACTTTTTTTAGGCTTCAAAAGCAAAAGATAAGTTGTTTCTTACTTCACTTACCCACTGATACACAAGCTGAGGTTTCTCTGCTCTCTCACAACACTTACATGCCAGGCAATGCAAGACCTACAGCTGCCAGTTCTGTACTACTTACGATGTCACTTGTTCTTTTAAAGGAAGGTTATATCCCAACTGCCAGAAATTAACCATATTAAACAGAGTTTTTAAAACAAGACATATTAAAATAAACAGCATTTAGTGTTACTGAAGAAAAGTGTCCCAAGCTAGCAAAACCTTCAAAATCAGGTTCCCATAGCCTGATCCTCAGAGGCAGTCTGACTTAAAAAATTTGCAAGAAACTGCCCGCAAGTTTTTTTGAATGGAAAACTTTTGGGAAGAACTTGCTTAGAAAGCTTGTAATTAAACCATCAGTTTAAAGTGCAGTTTTCACAAGGTCTACCATAACCCTTTTAGCTAGAAAATGGCACATGCAAAAGCAATGAGGATTTATGAGGCTTTGACAGGAACATGAAAGAAACCCAACCAAAAGTGATACATTTTCTGTGGACTCTTAACTCCTTAAGCAAAACTTAAATGCTGTCTAAATCATCACAAAGTTGCACTGCTACTGAGAGCTTGATTATTCAACACAAAAAGAAGTTGTTGCAGACAAGCATGGCTATGGTTACAAAAATGAACACAAAAGTTAATGCAAAAAGTCATCTCAAAAAAAGTTTATTAGCATGATTAAAAATACGTGAAGAATGACAGTAAGAGACAGAAAGTAACTTAACACGGCAGAACACCGATTTCAACAGCTTATATTCAACAAAGCTTGAACTGAATGGAAAACTTTATTGCCATGTTTCACTTGATTTCTTTTAACAGTTCACATTGTATCAGTTTCATCATTATTAGGACTATTGCTTTTGTTTGGATCTGATCCCGTTGCAGGAAAATATAAAAATATATCCCCCATTACAGGTGGCTTGCAGAAAGCAATGGTTTAAGAGCTGGTAAAAAAAGAAACTCTCAGCTGAAGACTGTTTAAAAAACAACCTTTTTTTCCCTAATCACGCTACAAAGAAATACATTAGTATTTTGGCCTTTACATTTCTTACATGGTATTTATTTAGCATGGCAATCCTCGAATTCTCTCCCTTTAGGTAATCATAAATCAAACTCCTCTTTCAGAGGCTGCTTCTTGGGTTAGATTCTGGAGATTTACTTCATACATGCTTACACTGGCTTGAGGACGAAGACGGCATCATCTAGTACATAGTAGTCATTATACATATCACCTTCACATAGGTATGGCAGTCTGGTGAAAGCCTCTATGGCAAAACCAGCTTTACTGAAAACTTCTGGCAGACTATTCACCTGCTCTTCCCAAGTGTGCCCTTTGATTTCCAAAACTTCTGAGGGCTTTTCCCACTTGCCACCTACTGAGAAAACAAAACAATTTTGTTTAGATTACAAAGAAAACTTTATTCTGTGTTGTATTTTCTTACAGAAAGTATATTACACAGATTATATTCCATTCCACTCCAAACAGGAGGCTGACAAGGCATTCATAGAGCTGTTGCAAGATCAGTTCAAGTTTTTGCCTTTTGTTCAGAAGCAACCGCTTCTCAAGGTTATCTTTTGTTACATTTTTAACTAGCAGTTCCAAGACTGGCTGAAAAGTAACTTCCACTAGTGAGGCTGATGTTCAGCAGACACCGACAGACAGACTAATGAAGACCTTTCTCAGCATTACAAAATTCTCTCTTTATGACTACCACCTGGCCAAAGATGGCTTTGGGTGATAGAGTAAATAGAGCAAGAAAGTTGAAAATTAAGATTTGCTGGGATGCTTCCATCAGTAGACCACAACATTACAATGAATGGCTACATAATCTTTGTTACTGCAGCAGCCAGCAACTAGCTGCTATTGTAAAGACAGGTTAGTGTTGTACAAAATCAAGAAGCCAAACACTTGCAGCCTGCTGGAAAATGTGTTGTCGTTTGTTGTATCCAATGAAATAATCTAAAGGATTATAGGTACAACTCTCAGAAGTTCAAATTTTAAAACTCTTCATTCATTTTCCAAGTAATGTCATCCACAAATAACAAATGTTTTCTATTTTGGTCTGTACCTTTAACCAGCTAAATGCAATAGTAACCACCCTTCTAAACAGGAAGTTCTAAATCTTGTGATTCAGAGCATTCTGCAACTCCAAAGATTTCTTAAGTTCCTCTTCCTTCAAGCAGAAACATTTCCAGAGAGCTACAAGAAATGGCTTCTTTCAACAAATTAAAAAATGTGTTAATGCTGGCATTTGACTGGATTCTCTATGGTGCTGGTAAGATTATTTTTTTTTAAGCTTCTTATACTTCCCCATGTATTAGTAGTTAAAAAACACTGAAAAAACTGTGGTTATGATTTGCAATATAGCTACAAAATAAGAGCAGTAAAAAGTTTTGCTGAAAATCAAGCTGATTTCTGCTATCTTCATAGCACTTCCAAATTTACTGTTAGCAAATGCTTTTTCTTCCAAAAGTCTGAAATGCTCTTGTAATCTATGATTTCTGAGTCAAACCCTACTGCACTTCCCTACAAAGAATGCTCTAGCAGTATGGTTTCAGTGCAGCTGCACTTGTTTGTCAAGTTCAACAGACAGTACCTACATGACCTGAAGCCATGGAGTTCTGCTCAGCAAGGCCACCCAGAGCCCTGGAGTAAGGTGGAAAGAGAAGGGGACCAGCTGCAGAAGCACAAGCTACTGCCTTTCACCTCACAGGGTGCAACTACACCGACAACTTATACGATTACCCTCTTCAGATGGCTGCAGCTGCTATGCAGCAGCTCTGATGTTGATCTGACAAAGAAGGAGAATTTTATTTTATTCCTATAGAAGTCACAGACACTGAATCTACTTGGATTCAGACACCAAGTCTGCTTGAATTTGGTCCATAAAACATTCAGTGAAAAAAAATTACGAGGGGACAGTGCTGTTTGTCCATTATAGACAGGCTTGTAAATTGTTTATCAGTCGCAGATTAAGTGACTTCAGTTTATTTTTCCTCTAATTTGTTATTTTCTAGGACACAGAAAAGGATACTGTTGAACTACTACATCCATTTTCACTGCAATAATCTCAATTCCATCATTTACATAACTAAGCAAATTATTTGAATAAAACGAAATACACTAAAGCAGTTTTTAATTACGGATTTCAATAAGGACTTAAAAACAAAATCTCCCAGACCAGTCATATTAAAGCTTACACTTCAGTTCCTTAATTAGAATTCTCTTCTCTGGTTAACCTTCCTGATTTCTCTGCACACATTTTTAAATGTCAGAACTAACAAGCAATGTTATTACCCTTAGAAACCCAAAGTCAATATATATGATGAAATGGAAGAAAGTCTAGGAATTAATATGAATTCTAATTAATTTTATGAAATTGCTGAATTATAAATGCCTCCATTTATGACATTTTCACTGCATGCCATCAGATACTTCTCCTGGGCCACAGGAGACATATTACTTTAGATATATGAATCTTCCTTATACTTTTTCAGAAAATGAGAATGCTAAGCACATTGCCACATAGGTAAAACTGTTATATGAACACATGGGCAAGCTGTAGGAATTACATGAAATGAAAGTTGGCTAGAAACAAACTCTAAAATTTCAAGTTTGAAACATGGTTGGTTTTCTTCCTTCCCTCCCACCTTTTCTCAAATGAACCAGAAGTAGCTTATTCTCTTTCTAGAGTGTGCCTTACTTTTTAAGTGGCTCTCACATTACCAATTATTTACTCTTAACAGGTGCTACAGATACCTGCAAAGTCACTGTAACACAACCCAGATTTCAGGAAGCTGACTACTCCATGCACACCGTGTTCTTAACGTGTGCTTTTGATGCCTCTGGATGCTCCTCGTCTCAACCTCAAGTTCTATGGTTTCGCTTTTTAACGAACAAACATGAGGATTTGTGCACTCCTGCATGCACAGACCACCACAAGTACAAAGTACATTTATCACCAAAAAATAACATCTCACTTCAGATCAATGATCTGACTGTAGATGACAATGCTGTTTATATCTGTGGAATAGCATTTTCAGATTCAAGTTCACCCCATTCTAAACAAACAGGAGATGGAACAATACTAACAAAAACAGGTCAGTCCATCATTCCTTCTTAATTAAGGATCTTAATCTTTTCTTAAATAAATTATCTTCCCTAAATTATTTACACTGTCAAGAATGGCATTTAAGATGGAAAAACACAACAAAACTGTGAGCAGTAGCATGACTATATTAAAATCTTAATAGTAAAATCATGGAGGGATTCTACAAATAAGTATCTTAACCTTGTTTGCAAATTAGACTGTTATGTCATAAGAAGCAAAAGACTCTAGAATTCTGCAAAAGGAAGAAGTTTTGTACTCGTGTTATCTAACCATACTCTACATCCTCTTACATAAAGACTTGAGTGGCTATCAGAAAGGAAGTATCAAAAGAAAAATGAGAAGCAGAGAAACTGGCACTCGGTGGAAATAGGTGCAATAGAGTCTAGGGTCTTAGAACTGGGGATTCATTGTGCCAACTTGAGAAAAAAGTTTTAGTTCTGAACCTTCGTATCATTTGCCTTCTAGTTAAGAAAGTGATGAGCCTTTGTCAACTACATCTCAGTTTTACGTCCTTTAAATAGGAAAAAAGCCCACAAACTAGCTGGATTATTATTTCCCCTATATTCTGTCCCTCTTTTATTTAGATACTACTTTACAAGAGCAGAAAACTGGATTCTGTTCTCTGACTACCCCTAAAGGAAGGGTTCATAATCAAACATAACAAATCTTCATTGCACTTGAAAACATTCAGGGAAACAAAAGAAAAGCGATCTCACTAAGGCATTCAGGCTGAAAATGAATCAGAGAATATTGAGAGAATATTGATGGGCATCAACTTTTTTAATTCCTCAGAGGAAGGTGGCTGGAATGCAAAATCTTAAGAAAATTATGTGAATCAGAAGAACTGTCCTTTATTCTAACACTCACTTTCTAATAAAGCAGAAAAACAGCACAGCAATGGAAAGGTCATCTTCATCTTCATGATCATCACCTCATCATTACTGTTTCTATACAGCACCACTGTATTCACATTCTTTGTAGTCTACAAGGTAGGCTCCAAGTAATTTCTCTGATTTTGTTCATTTTGTAAATCTAACCAGTTCCAACATCCACACAGGGAGAACAAAAAGACATTCCTAGATTCCATAACTTTTATGATTAACTTTTAAAGAGGTAGCTGAAGTTCATATGCTGCACACACCTGCAAACTTATGTGCCACATACCTGTACTCTCAACAGCAACCACAGTCTCTTTATTCAGCAAAGTGTCCATAAGAAAAGGAATTCTAAAGTTAAAATTATCCTGATAGTATTAACCAGCAAATTGAATTATCTATCAAGGCACACCAAAAAAGTGTAATTACCATCGTTGGCCCTCAAATATCTGGATTAGTTACCAGTAAAAGAAAAATAATTTAAATTTAATGTCAAAATATTTGTGAGCTTCCATAAAGTTACTGCAGACTGATTTCGCTTGTGTAATGAAATTCTATTCATATATCATACATATACAGACCTTGGTAAAGTTACATAACTACGTGGGTTTTTTTTTGTTTGGGTTTGTTTGGTTTGTTTTGTTTTCTTAAATCTAAACCAAAATTTGTGTTTAGTTAAAAAGAAACAACCAAAACTGCAACTGGAATCTTTACATAATAATGAGGCTTTGATATGAGAATGAGGACTTCACAGTCCTGCGTGGTATGATATGGTCAAATGGTTCTTTGCTGTAGTGATCACTGCCTGACCACAAAGACAGGACAGCCTTTTTGATTTTTGTTTTTCTTTACATTGGATGAAGTAGTATAGTAGGAAAAATTAATCAAGCTTTCTTCAGGGGAAGAACTGTTATCTGTGATGCCATTGGTTTATTTTTGAGAACTGGGTACTGCTGCAGTCAGGTCCCACTGTACTCAAAGCAAAAATACTTGCAACATCTACTACCAGAAGCATGTAAGGTCTGAAGAAGACCTTACATGCTTGAAAACTTCTCAGATTTTTCCCAATGGTATAAGCTGATCTAATGAAAGACTTTTATCTACAAACTGTTGGATGCTGTAAAAGGGCAACATTTTTAACTATTCTGATACCTCAACATTTGTCTGCTTATCTTACATTTCAATCTGTTTTCATTTTATTATCCCTCCACGCAGCTGAAACCGAAGCTGCTAAAGAAAAGCTGGAATGAAGACCAAAGACCAGAGAACTGTGTACGGTATCACTTTGTTTGCTTTTTCCGCCCCCCCCTTCCCCCCATCTTTTAAGTGTATTGGGTATCAATTTTGTGACTAATTGATGATGCAGTTAGAGAGACATTCACAGCTGTTAAGGATTCACAGCATATTTGTACAGAACTAGTTGAGGATTTTATATTTAACTAATTAGTTAATTTATTTTGAACAAATTGGATAAAGGATGAGGTCAACCTATGTAAAGGCCACCTCTAATACACAACTTCCTTTAAATTTAAGTACCTTTTGTTCAAACTTCTGAAAAGAACAAGTTTTGCTATTAATTTTTGTTTGTTTAAATGGTGCATTCAGGTAAGTCCTAATGTATGTAAAATAAGTCTATTAAGAACATCTATTACCATATATCTATGAATAAAAATCAGATGCAGTACATTTAAATATCCATTAAAGAAAGTATACATGTTATGAGATGTAATATTAATGTAATTAAAAACCCTTCTGCCTGCTAACTCGTATGTTCTTGAAGTGTTGTTTAGTAACATTCCCAAAGATGTATGCAGGAAAAAAATCAGAACTATAAAAGGAAGAAAAAGGTATTTCCTCCAACTTCAAATGTAGCACTGATCTAAAATACTTTAAATTATTTGCAGAAAATCACTAGTGGGCGAAAAATTTTTCGAGCAATTGCCCAAGAGCTTCAAAAGCAGAGGTATGCTGAACGTTGGAAAGAGCCTGTAAGTACCTGTCTACCAATACTCAAATTTATGGGCAAAAAGAGGAACTGGCAGGTTTTAAGAGCATATAATTTCTATTTCCTTTGGCAATAGACTTTTCTTTTTAAACGATGACAAAAATTTAAAAAAAGTATTCTGCACAACAGTCAAAGGTATTATAAAGCATTCTAAATGACCGTACATATACAATTTTTAATATATATCTATATGATAGTATATACGTTATAGAACGTATGAATGTGTGTACGTTTCAAAATGAAGCTTCCATAGACTTGTATTTTGCCAAGAGGAGGTCTCAACAAGTGGGTTTGGACTGTTCAGTAAAACGTATAGAGCTATTAAGGTTTAATTTTGAAAAGTATTTCTATTGTGATTCCTCTAGCTCCCTCAGTCCAGGGTTGCCAGGTGACAGAAATGCAACAAAACTGTTACAAAAGCTCTGCAACATTCTTCCAGGTATTTCCCCCCTCCCTCAACTTACAGAGCCTAAACTAAGTATTAAACACCACAGGCTAAAGCCACAGAACTTATTTCACCATTCCAGATTTATGCCAATATGTCTTGCTTAACCATATGACAGTAATTTTGCATATGCCATGTAAGCTATTAAAATAACCAAAGAAACAAAAAACCCACAACACCTCCCACAACTTTAGAAGCCACGTGTATTTACAAACAAAGAAAACGGCTTCAAAATTCTGCTTCAAAAACGTTGCTTCTCTTCAGAAAGAGTATAAATTCCTTCCTATACTGAGCAGAGACTGCACCACTTCAAAGACACAAGGAGAAACCAGAAGAAATGTAGAAAAAAGTCAAACCCTTCTCCTCTATAGATTTTTAACTTCATTTGTTGCCCTACAACCCAAATTGTTTCCCTCTGTAATTTAAAGACTTCAAGTCCCTGCTGTCATGACCCAGTCCTTGGTTTGATACAACCCAAATTGTTTCCCTCTGTAATTACACCTTTAAAGACTTCAAGTCCCTGCTGTCATGACCCAGTCCTTGGTTTGAGGATCAGATAAACAGTGAAAAGAAGGGGTATGTTTTACTGCCTTTGTGCTCCCTAGAGACTAGGAAAAGCCAAAACAAAAAGAAATATGTTTTGAATCCTGTAGATGCCACATGGACAACAGCAACTGGATAAGTGGAGAGAAAGGAGTTTAATGGAACAATAAAGGGATGGAGTTTGCCTCAAAAAGGAAATTCCGCCGTTATAAAACAACAACAAAGTTCACATCTGTAGTGAAATACTTCTCCATTTTTCCCCTAGGCTGATTTGGAAGATGACACTCTTTATCAGAACAGATGAGTGTGTGGCAGTTCAGATTTGTTCAACACTCCTCATGCAAGAGAAGTGGCAGATGAAGAAGTTCAGCTTTCTCAGACTTGCCTTGCTTTACAAAGAGAGGGGGAAACCTTGGAAGGCAGCGTTCTTCCAAAGGATTTTCTAAACAGGTCTCCAAAATCGAGTGCATTGTACATTACATCTGTGTTATGTATTACATTTTCCATTCTGTGAGAATAAGAGCGGTGGGAAAGGACTTCATCTTTCATATTGTAACTGTTAATGCTTTGTAAAATTTTCCTTTTTCAATTTATATTTAATTCTTTGTCTTTTTTTCTTTTTAGATAAATTTGCACGTATTCCTTTTACATGAATTGAGCATTTGTGAAAGATGCATGGTAATTGACAGCAACCGAAAAACTCTTTTTATAGCTGAAATTCTGGCTTTACTCATGTTATTGTAATAGGTATCAGTGTAACAGATACACAGGTCAAGAGTTACTGAGTCTGAACAGCTTAGACAGAGCAAACCCTATGTATTCTGTAGACAGGCAAGCACAAAAAACAATATAAATGCACATACTATCATGGTGAAGCCCGTTAGGAAAGGAGAGTAGCGGTCACAGCAACAAGGTTAATCCTGCAATATTAAAATTCACTTGCTAGACAGACAATCTCCACCTTCCAGTCCTTACACCCAAAGTCAGGATTTCCTGGAGCACCACATTATGCCTTTACATTCCTGTTTGACACAGATACAAGCACGAACACAGAAGTATAATACCTAGTCAAGGTGATATACCTTTCATTTTGAAACAACTTTTTTTTTTTTTTTTTCAGTTGATACTACTTAGCCAATCTACAAAATAGACATTTTTACAAGAGATCTGTTAGTATCAGTCATTCCCCCAACCAAACAACACCTGCATTTTTCATCATCACTTAAATAAAGCAAGGCTGCATTTCTCACTTCCGTGAGATGAGAACTGACAACTGAGACACAGCAAGGGTCCACCTGGCACATCACTGAGGTTCCAGCTCAATTTGGTACCAACTTGAGGAAGCTGGAAAACACATCTTTGTCTTCTTACCTCTGTCAAACAATCACACAGCCATTAATGCGTTCAACAAGGGAAGTTCACAACCCTAGTCTGCTAGTGTTCACTAGATCTGAAGTATGACATCTCTGACATTTTAGAAAAACATACACCAGTCATATACTATCCAGTAATATCTTTATATAGATATGATGTCTATATTGGGAAATACAAAGGATTTTTATAAGACCCTATGGGATACCTATTAGAAATATAAAGTTTAATAATACACTTTTTTTTGTGACTAGTTGAATACCTTACGATTCATCCAGCTACTTGCCAAAATTAGACATGTGCATTAAGCGCATTAGTTGTTGTTCTGTATGTTAAGAATAAAACTCTCAAAAGACCTGGAAGAATTTATGATTAAAGCTACTTTGGACTGTAGGTGTCACTGTAATTCCAGAAACAGCAAGCACAAATGTATTTTGCCTCATCCTCCACCTTACTTTGTTCTCTTAAAGCAGGTTTTATGTTACTCACATAGTTTCCACAATTACCCTCCCACTCCATTATGTGTAATAATCCAAATACCTCATTCTGATTAAAATAATTTCTGCATTTCTAGAAACTGTACACTTATCAAACACCTTACCTGCCTCATCTCTTCTCCATTTGTTCCCTACCTCTAAATTTCGAAAGTTTCTCTAGGCAGGTCTGAACTGTTTTTAAATAGTTGCTACAGGAAGTTACCTGAGCCAGGAAATATACTTGGAACAAGGAGAAGAACATGTATTTTTTTTAAATATAAAGCATATGTACACATCCAACATTTTTTAAAATGTATCATCCTCTAGAACAACCGAATGACAATACTGACATTCTAAAATCATTTTGTACATCATGAAGACAGTCTGGCAGTTCAGTGTCTATTTCTTTAGACTACAGTTAAACACACAGAATGGCTTAGGTTGGAAGGCACCCTAGAGATCATCTTAAGTGGGGAAGTTCCAGCAGACTTACTTTTGTGTGTACTAACTTGCATTGCCTGAAGAAGTTTATATGACCCCATATCCATGATTGTGGTAAGTAGATGAACTTAGTATGTTTTGAAGTTTCAGAACATACTAAGGAAACAAAACTGCCTTAAAGTGACTGATCACCACCACAAACAAAAGATTTCAACTTCCAACAAGTAGGAATGGCAGCTGAGTTCAACAATCACAGAACATGTTTCCAATCCCTTGGGATTTATGAATTTAACACTGTTCTCCTCCCAGTATACTATAGAAGATTAATGATGAAGTATACAAGCAGACTTAAGAGTAGTTTCTTCCTTAAGTTACTGTGAAGGACCGAGCCATGAATGT